GTGTCATATATATCACTCCCATATAAGAAGTATATAAACATATCACTTTCCATGCAAGAAATGCAACATATCGTGTCATATATATCACTTCCATATAAGAAGTATATAAACATATCACTTTCCATGCAAGAAATGCAACACATCGCGTCATGTATATCACTCCCATATAGGGTTGTTAACGTTTTCATTTTTCAGAAAAACGATCGTTTCGTTATGAAAAAAACGACGAAAAATCGAAAACGAAACGATCGTTTGTTTTCGTGTTTTCTTTTTGGTTAATAATTCTTAGAAAATTTTATAATTATCTTGCAGTATAGTTTATTGATTTATTTATCATGCAGCTAGTTTATTGATATATTTATCATGCAGCTTGTTTATTGGTATATTTATCATGCGACTAGTTTATTGGTATATTTATCATGCCGCTAGTTTATTGATATATTTATCATGCGACTAGTTTATTGGTATATTTATCATGCAGTTTGTTTATTGGTATATTTATCATGCGACTGGTTTATTGATATATTTATCATGCAACTAGTTTATTGGTATATTTATCATGCCGCTAGTTTATTGATATATTTATCATGCAGCTTGTTTATTGGTATATTTATCATTCGACTAGTTTATTGGTATATTTATCATGCGACTAGTTTATTGGTATATTTATCATGCCGCTATTTTATTGATATATTTATCATGCAGCTTGTTTATTGGTATATTTATCATGCGACTAGTTTATTGGTATATTTATCATGCGGCTAGTTTATTGATATATTTATCATGCAGCTAGTTTATTGTTATATTTATCATGCAGCTAGTTTATTGATATATTTATCATGCAGCTTGTTTATTGATATATTTATCATGCGACTAGTTTATTGGTATATTTATCATGCGGCTAGTTTATTGATATATTTATCATGCAGCTAGTTTATTGATATATTTATCATGTGGTTAGTTTATTGATAAATTTATCATGCGGCTAGTTTATTGATATATTTATCATGTTGTTAGTTTATTGATATATTTATCATGCGGCTAGTTTATTGATATATTTATCATGTGGTTAGTTTATTGATATATTTATCATGCGGCTAGTTTATTGATATATTTGTAACAAATCTAGACGCTAATTCTATAACGATTACTTTACTCAAAGTCTAATGAGATCATATTTAACTACTCCACTTGAGCATCTTCTACCTTATTACGTTCTAGTATTTCAACTACTCTTCCGATAGGATCCTGAGTTTCCGGTGTAGCTGCCTCTTGCCATGTCTGGGCGAATGATTTCTCCTTATCCTTCCGCTCAATACTCGCCAGTTTATCCTTAGTCTCCGCCAGCTGTGCTTGTAGCATCTGAAACTGCTGCCTCATCTCCGCCAGGCCATCCATTGCTGGGTAAGATGGTCCCTCCATCTCTACTTCCGATTCAGAATCGCTGGGTAAGCTTGGGTATCCCTGAAAGGTAGCCACTGTATTTCCTGTAGTCACACTTGACACTCTCGCAGGCAAATCCTCTCCTGTCAAAACTTCTCTGGCTAATCCGTTAAACCAGGTTCTCACTTTACTTTTCTTCCGAAATACTTTCGGAGTCTCTGGCATCTAGATTTGGGGTTATATTATAATCCCACCGCTGCCACCACTTTTGTAACAAATCTAAATGCTACTTCTCTAACGATTACTTAACTCACAGTCTAATGAAATTCTCTCTAACTAAATCTCTAGCCAAAACTCAAGGCTCTGTATACGTCCGTTCTGATCAATTAACGATATTCAACTACTTTATTTATAAACAGGTAGAATGAACTGACCGGGCTAGCCCGGCTGGGTCAACATACAAAATAGTTAAGATACTGATAATTATGAATACAGATAATAAATTAGAATTGCACATCATGGTAGAATACACTTCACATATATTCCTCAGATCCCGAATATTCTATGGCCAAACCAGTTTTCAAAAATTAAAAATATAAAGGAATTGAGTTTTTGCTACAAACTCTGATTTTCCATTACCTATATCTTTCCAACCCGATATTGTAGACCTTTAATATTTCAAATTATGATAATTCTATTAGATCAAATCTTAATTTGAAATATCAAAGGTTTACATCATCAGATTGGAAAGATATAGGGATTAAAAAATTTCTGTGCGTGGCAAAAACTCAATTCCTTTTATTTATTATTAACATTTCTGAAATAAAAAAAAAGATTCGGTAGATAAATACGGAAAAGTCGGTCAAAATTGATTAGCCTAAAGTTTAAAGGGTACTCTTTAAACACGGCACTCTTTAAATTCAGAATCACTTGGTATTATGCTTACATTCCCTTTAAATACGCTAGTTCCTATTTTGATTGGTCAATGACTTTTATCAAAGTATTGTCATCAAAAACATTTGGTAGATACTAGATAGTAAATATTTTAGTATTTGGTAGATACTAGATAGTAAATATTTTAATATTTGGTAGATACTAGATAGTAAATATTTTAATATTTGGTAGATACTAGAAAGTAAATATTTTAATATTTGGTAGATACTAGATAGTAAATATTTTAATATTTGGTAGATACTAGATAGTAAATATTTTAATATTTGGTAGATACTAGATAGTAAATATTTGAATATTTGGTAGTTAGTAAATATTTGAATATTTGGTAGATACAAGATAGTAAATATTTGAATTTTTTCCTCTGATAATTCTACAATATCAAAAAACAAGGAAATTTCTGAGATCTGTTAAATCTAAATATAATAAGAATATTTAAAAATAATCATATTGGCAGTCCTCTCTAAAGTTAATTTTGATGTATACTACTTGATGTTGCCTGATGATTATTAATCAATAATTTTAAAAATCAACCGCGTTAAATCAGTTGTTTACTCACGGTGTTGGATAATTGAAAGGCGAAATAATTACAGGGTTTTGATTTATTGTGGATTAATAACTTTGCACATTTTCTCTTTGACGAGACAAAAATCAGTTTAAGGGACTATACATGTGATTTCAAGTGACCAAAAACACTTTATCTTATCAAGTTTTAAAAAGATATTTATGTTTTTGCTTTTGAAAACTCTTTATTTTCATGCATGGTTTCTTTGCAAAAGTGCTTCAGAAATAATGGAGGGAATTGTCTAAAATAACATATTTTGAGCCATTATTCCCCATTATTTATTATATTTAGGTTTCAGGGTATCATTGTGAATCAGACAAGAACTTTTTGAATAAAGGGTCACTAACTATTACGACGAAAGTTCCTTTGCTGTTTTTCTATTTATTAAATAAAAATTGCAGTTTTTATTTTATTTTGAAAGATTTTTTTCCTATGAATGAAATATAATAATATGTTTTGCTTATGTTCAATGATCAGAGTTGACTTTAAAAAACTTCTTTACTCATAAACCTAATTGACAAAAAACATTTAAAATGGAGTTAAATTTTTCTATTTGAATGGTGCACAATGCACATACACAAAATAAAATATAAATTAAAAAACGAAAATTTTCAATAATTCCTAAATTTTGAATTTGAGAAAACTAATATTAAATTAATATTATAATAAAGGAGGAAGTTCCATGTATAGTGCCGTAAAACCTAGACACCTTGAATTGATTTTAATCTGAGAATTATCAGATTTTTATAATTTGTAAAAACCTCCAATTACTGTAGTTTCTCGACATTTAAATATTCATTACGAGGAGTCCCAAAAAGAACAATGGAGTTAAATGACGACTTTTAAATTCAAAATTATTTTTGTTTACTTAAAGTCAACCATTGGTAAAGTTGGCTAGTTCAAAGCTTATCAAATCTTTTCATGAATTTTGGTGGTAAAAATAAAACCCTTTTTGATTTTCAGTTTTTGATATCCTGAAAACATTTCAACTAAAATTCAAAGGTTGTTAAATACAATATTGGGGTTTGCTTATTAAATGGGGATTTAATAAAGTTGGGACTTTGAAATAAACTCTCATGTTAATTTTATCTTAAAGAGTCTTATTTCTAAATAATGTGAAAAGGAACAACTCGTTGAAATTTATTGAATTCTTTTCGAATTGGATTGAAAATACTCTCGAAGTCTACAGCACACTATCTAAAAACAAGCAAATCTCTGAAAGTTTTCCAATTTAATTTTTTTTTTAAAGAACAAGTTTCTATTATAGACCCTGGAGTTCAGAAGAATCCTCCATATGTAAACTGATTAATTTCTTATAAATTGATTCATTCTTAAAAATGAGTTGAGAAAATTTTAATATCTGCATTTTTGAAATAATTTCAAAAGTACCTAGTATCAAATATGCAAAAGGGAAAAGAATTAAATATGAGATTTGTTGTAACAATTCTGATCAATAAATAGTATTCCATTTGATACAGCTTTTAACGATAACTTTGAACTATGTCCGATTTTCGTTGAATTTGACAATATAAGAACCTCTGTTTCACACAGTTTTAGCGTCAACAGTTTACCTTGTATACGTTTACTAGGAAACCTTAACGTTCAGATTTACAAACTGCTGTAAAATATGTTTTCATAGTTGATTTGTAGTTCTGAAATGTATACATCTACTATTGAGACCGGGCCGAATTACAAGTTTGCAAGGTTTTAGATGGATTTTCACAACACACTTTTGCTTATGTTCAAGTGCTAATAGAAAGGTTTAAAAGCTTCAAAGCAACAACGCTCTTGTTTCTAGTCTTAGATTAGAAAAGAATTTTGTTACTAACACAAATCTTCTAATCTTTATATCTTTGCATTCCAATTTTGTAGACCTTTGATATTTCAAATAATGAATTCTGTAAGATCAAATCAAAGATTAAAGGTTTTCAACATTTAAGTTTGTAAAGATATACTTTGTGGCAACTCAAATTTAGTTCCTGTGTTCGAAAGTGTATATTGATATTTTATATTGATAATTTATATATTGAAAACGTAAATTGATAATATATATAAATAATTGAATAATAAATTGATAATTTAATATGTATCAATAATATATGGAATATTTAGATGGTTGAGTTTAGCCGAGGAGACCTGGTCTGGTTTGATCCAGGGATTGGATATGTTCTGCCAGGGGAGGTATTGGAGTACCATAAACAGGCCCAGGTAAGTTATATACTAAAATAATAACAATACTTAAGTAAAATATTAAAAATAGTTTGCTTTAACATTAGGTAATTTTAATTTAGCGCTTTGCTATCTATTGAGACTCATCCTTAAGACTGAAAGATTTGTCATGTTGGCTTGACAAGTCTGGCCACATCGTCAACACCTATCATTAATTTGATAATGTTCTTTGCTTTATATATATGCGTGTTAGCTAGCTATAGCTATTTTTTAGAGAAACGGATATTTACCCGGGGGGTAGCTAGTTAATAGTAAAACTCAATTTTTTCGAGTTATAACATGTATAACATACAGAATAATAATACTTCATCAATAAATAAATTTTACAAACACATTGAAATAATTAGCTGAGTATAATTACTAGATGAAAGGAACTGTGGTACTCTAATTTTCAAAAATGCATGTCTTTGCATCCTGCAGTTGTGAAAACATTTTGAATATCACACATTGACTATATGAAGAATAAAATTCATAGATTAAACTATTAAAGGTCCGCGACATCAGGTCACTGAGACATACAGTTTAAAAAATGTTAGTTTAATAACATAAACAGTAATGTCCTGAACAGGAACAATGAACATGCATATATAAAGCAACAATAATTTCCTTCTATACAATAATAATATACAGTTATCAACATATACCAAGATGTCAATGTTGTCCTTAATCCCCCCCTCCCCCCCACCCCTCCTGGAACTAATGATCTCCTCCTTGGTGAAAACAATAGTTGCTGGCCTTGAAGGAAAACATGGTTAATCACATTCATCAAGGCAGCATTTGCATACTCTTCATACAAACATAATTACTCCAATACTTCATATTTTAAATACTAATTAAGATATATACGTTTAATTTGAAACAATATTTCTTCTTTAAGTATTTGGCTGCAGGTCTACTACTTGCATAACCATTATGTTTAAACCTGAACCATTTGTTTCTTTAGTCTATTCTTCTCAATAGGATACAATATATAAACAAACAATGGAACATAAATAGAGAAATAAAAACTATTAGGAAATTTAATGAAACTGATAAGAGAATTTTTTGAATTGGATACTCGAAAACTTGGATACTTGGATACTTAAATACTTGATACTTGAATACTTTATTACTTGGATACTCAAATACTTGGATACTTGGATACTCAAATACTTGGATACTCAAATACTTGAATACTTGGATACTTGGATACTCAAATACTTGGATACTCGACTACTTGGATACTTGGATACTTGAATACTTTATTACTTGGATTCTTGGATACGATTCTTGGATACTTGCATACTTGAATACTTGGATGCTTGGATACTTGAATAATTGAATACTTGGATACTTGGATACTTGGATACTTGGATACTTGGATACTTGGATACTTGGATACTTGGATACTTGGATACTTGGATACTTGGATACTTGGATACTTGGATACTTGGATACTTGGATACTTGGATACTTGGATACTTGGATACTTGGATACTTGGATACTTGGATACTTGGATACTTGGATACTTGGATACTTGGATACTTGGATACTTGGATACTTGGATACTTGGATACTTGGATACTTGGATACTTGGATACTTGGATACTTGGANGGGGGGGGGGGGGGGTTACTAGTGAAAGTGACGTGGTTTCCCCCTAGGGCGGAGAAACCATAGAAATAAAGGATTCGCTGATTAGATTATAAAATTTGAAGAAATTAAGGAATTAAGAAAACAATAATCATGATCGGAGTTTTGCGCGCGTTCGTTCAGAAATAATATTTTAAAATAATACGTACCATGCGAAAGAATTTATTAATATTGTTCGCAGTAAACTATTTACAACATGTAAACTTTAGATATATAAAACTTCACTATTCCAAGTATTAAAAGTTAAGATATATGGAATGAAAAACTAGAGTTTTGGACCAGTGTTTAGAATTAGAAATAAAATGGGCGATCATGTATACAAAAAAGAATATTTATTCAGTATCTTGTTAATGTCAACTGAACATATGGATTTATGAATTTTAATAAGTAATTGCTGTCCTGTGTATTGATAGATATGCAAAACAGTTCACACCTAAAAATATTTAAAACAATTCTTCCCCTGTCTTAATCACGATACCCTTCTCTAACCCTTTTTTAAACTCCACACCTCCCCTCCCTACTGTCTAAAATTTCCTTTTTTCTGCTTTAATTTTGTTTTATTTTGTTCTCCCCTGCCCCCCCCCCCTTCATCCCTCGCCTTGACTATTCTAGGGATAGGCTCTCAGAACTATTTGCTCATGGTCAAACTGTTAGCAGAGAAATTCCATCTTAATTCCTTTACCCTGAACAGACACACAGACAGACAGACAATCTCAAACTACAAACATGGTATTCTTACACTGAAAAAATCAACCATCAAATGAACTTTTAGCATTATTCTTATTTAAGTATTTTTTTTTTAAAATCTTATCGAAATTTTATTTTTTAGTCAATAGAAAATGTTTTCTTAATATTTCCTAAATTGAGAATCATGTCCCAGTTCTAGTTAGATAGTTAGAGTAAGGATGTTAGGATAGAATAATACGAACTTCCTTAGATTTCGTCATAAACCCCAAACCAGGAGATATTTAACACACAAAGTACTGTCTAGAGCCTAGAGGTGGTGGAGAGGAGAAGGGGGGATTCTTGGGGGGAGGGGGACTATGACATACACTTTAGTGAATGTATTTATCCAATTTTATGCACTTATCCAAGTAGTCAAGTATTAAAGTTTTAAATCATTCAAGTAAGTATCCAAGTATTTAAGTATTCAAGCATTTAAGCATCCAAGTATTCAAGTATTTAAGTATCAAAGTATTTAGGTATTCAAGTATTTAGGTATTCAAGTATCCAATTATCCAAGGAGTATCCAAGTAGTATCCAAGTATCCAATTGGAGTATCAAAGGAGTATCTAAGGAGTGTCCAAGGAGTATCCAACTAGTATCCAAGGAGTATCTAAGGAGTATCCAAGAAGTATCCAAGTAGTATCCAAGGAGTATCCAAGTAGTATCCAAGAAGTATCCAAGTAGTATCCAAGAAGTATCTAAGGAGTATCCAAGTAGTATCCAAGTAGTATCCAAGGAGTATCCAAGGATTATCCAAGGAGTATCCAAGTATCCAAGTATCAAAGGAGTATCAAAGGAGTATCTAAGGAGTATCCAAGAAGAATCCAAGGAGTATCCAAGGAGTATCCAAGTATCCAAGAAGGGGGTCTAGTAAACAAGGTTTTTCAAGAATACGGGCATAAAGTCTAGATCCCCCTTTAAGACATCTCACTTGGTCTGGAAAAATATAGTTATTTTAACTTTAAAAATGTCTGCAGTTAAAAATAATTGAATTAACTATGTAAAGGCTGTTACTATCAACCCATTAAAATAATGATATGAAAGCTGTTTACAAAAATCACAGGTTGACCCATCAAGGATAAAAACAGCCTCGTTAAATATACCGATCCATTCCGCTCATCTTTTGTGAGTAACCCTGTATTGTATAATGTCTGGTAGATCATAATTATAATTTTGTATAGGTGATAACTGTTCAGGCTTTAATCAATAATGTGAACAAGACCTTCACCTTGAACAATACCAGCTCGGTAAGAACAGATTTTCTTGAAATCTAATTTCACGTAAACACAATGTGTCCCAAAAAAACATGAAAAATTTTAAAGATTAATTATGATATTTAAAGTGCTTTCCCACTTTAAAAGTGGTATGTCTAACTGGAGTTATGCTTAATGCATATTCATTATCATTATCTTTGGCCGCGTCTTAAGTTCAGTGGGGCACACTGTGTATTAACATACGGTCGGTGGTGTTTGTCCAGTCAGTAGCAAGAAATATATAATTTCAGGTTTTAAACTTTTACACTTCAACATTACATTTTACGTTTTACATTTTACATTTTTTATTTTACATTTTACATTTTACATTTTACATTTTACATTTTACATTTTACATTTTACATTTTACATTTTACATTTTACATTTTACATTTTACATTTTACATTTTTTATTTTACATTTTATAACTTACTTATAAGATGATACATTAATGGTTTAAGTTCAATAAATTTCATTGACGTCTTCAAGAGTAATATTTTTAAACTTGACATATTAAGTTTAAAATTTTGAATTTTTTCATTTATTTTACATTTTACATTTTACAGGTTCGAAGTCGACAAGATCTGGGAAAGACTGGAGTAGAGGATATGATTCAGTTGAATGATCTGAACGAGGCGAGCCTTCTTTGGAACCTCAGACTTAGGTTAGATATAGTTCAGGAACAAATTCAGGACAAGTGCAGGAACAAGTGCAGGAACAAGTTCAGGAACAAGTGCAGGAACAAGTGCAGGAACAAGTGCAGGAACAAGCTCAGGAACAAGTTCAAAAACAAGTTCAGAAATAAGTTCAAACTACAATAAAATTGGAATTAAATTTGATTAAAATATTTGAACAAATCACATAACTATGTTTAGGTATGATGCTGGTCTGATCTACACCTATACTGGAAGTATTCTAGTAGCGGTCAATCCTTACAGGTTAGTTTTGTTCAAGCGATCAATGCCAAACCAATGGGCACAATCTTATCATCTATCGATGTTAACACAGACACAAGCTCAGCTATCATTGTCAACACGGACACATGCTCTGAAGCAATCAATGCCAAACCAATTGGCACAATCTATTAAGCTATCAGTATCAACACGGACTCAAGATCAGCTATCAATGTTAATACAAACACAAGCTCTTAAGCGATCAATGCCAAACCAATGGACATGATCATATCAGCTATCAATATCAACACGGACACAAGCTCAGCTATCAATGTTAATACAAACACAAGCTCTTAAGCGATCAATGCCAAACCAATGGACATGATCTTATCAGCTATCAATGTCAACAGGGACACAAGCTCAGCTATCAATGTCAATACAAACACAAGCTCTTAAGCGATCAATGTTAAACCAATGGACATGATCTTATCAGCTATCAATGTCAACAGGGACACAAGCTCAACACAAGCTCTTAAGCGATCAATGTTAAACCAATGGACATGATCTTATCAGCTATCAATGTCAACAGGGACACAAGCTCTTAAGCGATCAATGTCAAACCAATGGACATGATCTTATCAGCTATCAATGTCAACAGGGACACAATCTCAGCAATCAATGTCAATACAAACACAAGCTCTTAAGCGATCAATGTCAAACCAATGTACACGATCTTATCAGCTATCAATGTCAACAGGGACACAAGCTCCGCAATCAATGTCAATACAAACACAAGCTCTTAAGCGATCAATGTCAAACCAATGTACACGATCTTGTCAGCTATCAATGTCAAATATAGGTATTGCTGTATTTATTACATATATACTAGAGTTTTAGGGTTCGCGCCCATCTTATATTTCAACTTTTAATTGTGGCTCTTTCTGTGAGCATTCTTCTCTGTGTACAATATAAAACAATAACAAAAAAAAGTTCGCGGATTTTGAGGGAGCCCATGGTTACCCTTGGGGTAACAAAGGCAAAATTCAAAATTTAATTTTTTTTTGATTCAAATTATTGTTCAGTTTTTCTTGAATTCCACAGGCAACGCCGGGCACTTCAGCTAGTTGGTTCATATACATATATATATTTATGCATATGTTGGCTATAGCTGGCCAAACGACCAGACCAAATTGGCTAACATTTTTAAAAGGGATCCTATGGGGGTGACATAGGCTAAATCTTTATTTTTTATTTTTTGAATTCCACGAAATTAACGCCGGGACTTCAGCTAAAACCGTGATTTATTACCAAGCGCGTGTAAACGGCGTGATTACAAAATATGAAATGAATACTAATATAAACCTGGGCAGCGCCCTACACTCCAACTAGTAAAATGTAATATATATATTTATAGAATGTTTGATATCTACGGCCTGGATACGGTTTCTTATTATGAGAATAAGATTCTTGGAACCCTGCCTCCTCATCTATTCGCAGTAGGTAGGAATCAAAACTTGTAATTTCAAATATTAAAAGAGTCAAAAACTGAATGTTTGAATTTTCAAAGAGAGATTGAATTTTTTTCATTTTGACTTGTAAAGTTGTGTTTATCAAGAGTTAGATCAAAACTTTGGTTTTTTCAAAAACAGTATTTTGTCACCTTGTGTTATCCTATCAACGGATATTTTGTCACATTGTGTTATCCTATCAACGCATATTCTGTCACCTTGTGTTATCCTATCAACGGATATTCTGTTGATTTTAAAGGGTTTTGATTGAATCCCAATGAAAGGAAGTGAGGCTGAAAGAGAACATGATTTGAAATTTTTATTGTCGAAAATGTCAAATAAAACATTTATTTCAAGTCAAACCTTTTCATTATTCCTGAGAGCTTCTCATGAAATATCACACGAATTGAAACCACCCATTACTATTATTGAAGTCGTGAATCACAGGTTCTATACTGAAAATCCAACTTTTAAAATTAAAATTTTAATTCTCAATTATTGGACATTTTCGGAGAGCACACGAAGAGTTAAAGATAGAGCTCTTTAAAACATACTTTAGCACGGCGTCCTTTAAGATAGATGTTTTTAAAACACACTTTAGCACGGCGTTTTTTAAGAAAGATTATTTTAAAACACACTTTAGCACGACGTCCTTTAAGATAGATTATTTTAAAACACATTTTAGCACGGCGTTCTTTAAGAAAGATTATTTTAAAACACACTTTAGCGTCCTTGAAAAAAGATTATTTTAAAACATACTATAGCACGGCGTCCTTTAAGATAGATTATTTTAAAGCAGACTTTAGGTCGATATCCTTGAAGATAGTTTACTTTATAACAAACTTTAGCACAACGTCCTTTAAGATAGGGTTCTTTATAGCACACTTTAGCACGATGTCCTTTAAGATAGATTATTTTAAAACACACTTTAGCACGGCGTTTTTTAAGATAGATTATTTTAAAACACGCTTTAGCATGGCGTTCTTTAAGATAGATTACTTTAAAACAAATTTTACACGACGTCCTTTAAGATGAATTATTTAAAACAAACTTTAACACAATGTCCTTTAAGATAGATTACTTTATAACAAACTTTATCACGATGTCCTTTATGATAGATCACAGTAAAACAAACTTTAGCACGGTGTCCTTTAAGATGCTGTTTAAAAGCTGGATCTAAATAAAAATTGCTACCGAAAGTCGTCTTCTTTATATTGAAATAATCGCCTACCACCGTGGATTACCTTAAAACAATCTTTACCGCGATGTCCTTTAAGTTTTAATTTTAATTAATTGATTAACTTGTATTCCTTGTTGCTCATGTACTCTAACCACTCCTTGATACACTCCTACCTAGTTCCTTCTAACTACTCAATAAAGGTCCCCTACCCCCACCACCACCACCACCAACCCACCTTCCCATTGGATTTTGTCACACAGTCATGATAAAATGACACCTTCAAAAAGTGGAATAAAAAAACATTTAATTTTTGATTGTTTGTATGATTTAAAATTGTGAATTGCGATCGTTTCTTATCATAAAAACTATTAAATCTATTTATATTAGTAAAACATGTAAAACATGACACTAAAAGGGCATTTTAATGCATATTCTAAAAAATAAAGATATCTATATTTAATATGTTTAAGATTTTAATGTTTTTGAAAAAATGTTTGTTAAATTGAAAAGCTTAGAGAAAGAAAAGCGTTCTTTCCTCCCCCAGAACATCTTACTTCATTTCATTTAATTTCTCAAAAATTCCAAAATGTAATTTTTATGATTCAGATTAAATCCATTAAAAATAATGCTATTAGTGATTGCTTGTAAATATTATTTTTAAATATTGTCGCTTCATCCCCCCCCCCTCCCCCCATTTTTCTACATATCCTTGGTACTAATAAACCACACAATATTCAAATAAAATAAAAAATATTTGTTAATTTTAGAATCAGAATTCACCTTAACCTTTACTCTCACATTTCAACATAAAATATAAATTAGAGTTCAAACTAAATATTTCTCAAGATCTTGCAAAATTTAAATTTCTCTTTATTACAAATATTTGCGGTTCATGTGAGGAGTGTGATACCCCCCCCCCCCATGGTGGTATGAAGGGAAAGAAGGAGGGGGGGGGGACGAGGGTGTCGCCTGCCAAACTTGTGGTTTGGAAGGTTTTTATCACATATATTTATCCAAAACTTGAAACTCTGTGATCAAATTATAATTCAATGCAGATAAATTTATGATAAATCTATTGATAATAAACAATGACAAGGTGAGAATAATATGACAAAACCTCAATCATACTTTTAAAATGTAAATATTTATATTTTAAATGATAATTATAAATGTGTAACCAAATACATAAGTGCTTAAAACTAAGATTCTTGATAAACAACGATGCATTTTGGCCATTGTTTTCAACCTAGTTTTGACAAAATATCTTTTTCATTTCTGACTTATAACTTGAAATCGAAATATTTTACGAAGATCTTCAACTAAAAACTTTAAATAAAACGGGTGCTGTTTATTTATTTTATTGATTGAAACAAATTAAACATTTTCTTGGTTTTTGTTGTAATGTAACGGTTCAACATTGGTAGAATTTGATAACTTCCTTGCCACTTGCGGGCTTGAAAATTTATACATTTCTAAGTGTATAAATTTATGATTTTATAAATTCAGTCACTCATAAATTCATAAATTCATAACCTTAAAAATCCATTACCTTAAACTTATAAACTTAAAAATTCTTAAAGGAATTGAGTTTTTGCCACAAACTTAAATTTTCTAATTCCTATAAATTCTGTTGGACCAAATAATCTAAGTTTAAAATCTCAAAGGTTAACACAAAAGGTTGTAACGATATAGAAATTAGAAATTTGAGTTTGAGGCAAAAACTTACAAAAACAATAATGAATGAAGTTATATTATAATTTTATAAATTCATGTAAATTCATAAATTCATAAATTCGTAAATTCGTAAATTCATAAATTCAAAAATTCATAAATTCATAAAAATTCATAAATTCATAATAAAACTTTATTCAATCCAGGTGCCTCGGCGTATTCCCGAATGTCGTCGTTGGAAGAGAACCAGGTTGTTGTTATCTCTGGAGAGAGCGGTGCAGGGAAAACTGAGAGTACCAAACTTATAATGCAGGTACAGAAACATATTCATTAACACACACCTTCGATTGTATTTTAAATTAGAAATTCCAATAAAAATAAACTCAGCTTTCATTTTTAATCCCAAACAGGTCTGATTGAGATGTCTTGGCCGGCTTAATTCTATAGACAACTCGCTAGGTGTTTAAAGTTTTCATCATCTCTTTTTTAGGCCTCTCAAATGAAAACTTATGCTTGAAGTATTCGCTAATGGAGAAAGCAGTGTAGGCCAAAATTTTAATACATTCCCCCTTTTGTAAATATTTATGTTCTGGTTCTAATAATTCTAATAATGGCCGACTGTAACAAATTTTAGTCTTTTATTAACATTTTAAAACATTTTTAGTATCTGGCAGCTGTAAATAAGTCCTCATCTAATCTAATAACAGAACAGATTCTAGAAGCTTCTCCACTTCTAGAGAGCTTCGGGAATGCTAAAACTGTCAGGTAAGCAGCTGTAGCCTGTAAATGCGATAAAAAAACTAGTATAAATTGTTAAACTTCAAATATTGCTCTGTATTCTGGAAGAATTGTAAAAGGAAAGCTAAAAAGAGTATCATGTCAATGGTAATAATCTTTTCTTAATTTCAGTTAAAGGGACTTAAAGGGACTGTTGTTGATATTTCTTGTTTTAAATTTATTTTGTTTTCTTTTTAATTTAAGCGAAGAAAAAAGTTCATTAAGTTTTTTTCATGATTTATCTTTATCTAAAAATTAGGCTTCATACTTTTATTTATAAATTTATTTTTCTAGAAATGATAACAGTTCAAGGTTTGGAAAATATCAAGAAGTTTTCTTTAAAGATGGAGTTATCACAGGTATGGAAAAGGCAATTAAAAAGTAGATTTAGCAAAATATTCTTTAAATCATTTTAATCTTATTCAGGAGCAAAAATCAATGAGTATTTGTTGGAGAAATCTCGAATTGTCACGCATGCGCCGGAAGAGCGGAATTACCACGTGTTTTATGAACTTTTGGCGGGATTAACCGAAGACCAGAAGCAAAAATACGGGCTCATGTCAGCTGAGAAATACTTCTATTTAAACCAGGTAAAAAAGATGATTTTAAAAACTCATTTATTTTTATTTATATTGTTTATCTAAATTTATTATTCAGGGAGGTAGCTGTACCATTGATGGTAAATTGGATCATGAAGATTTCCAAAACCTGATGTCAGCAATGCAGGTGATATAAAAATAATTTTAAAACACAAACACTTTTTGATCAAATCTTATATCGAGCGAGATATTTGTTATGTATCAGTATACTTTAGTGAAAGTTTACGACATAATTTTTTTTTTCATTTTAATAATGTGACAATGTAAGATCTATTTTGAAGTTTAAAAATTGGAATTTTTCTTTTTTCCAGGTGCTCGGGTTTACTAGCGAGGAGCAGGATGTTATCTTTAAGATTATTTCATCAATTCTTCATCTGGGAAATGTTTATTTCATCAGGTAAACCATGCATAAACAATATTTGTGTGTACATGCAGATCCCAGTTGAAAGAGCAGAAATCGAATTTGTAAAACAAATTTATATCAGTACTTTACTGTGTTACTTTACTTGTTGGAAAACTTTTTTTTGACTAAATATTTTTTATGAAGTGGAATTCATGAAAATTGAACCCTTTTTAAATGTTTAGAAAGCAACTGAAGCATGGTGGTGAAGGTGTAGAGGTTGGGTCTGATGTAGAGATCAAGTGGGCAGCTCATCTACTTAACCTCAACATGAACGGGATTATTGCTGCCCTCACTTTGAAAACCTCCGAGATAAAAGGAGAAAACGTGAATATTCCGCTCAATATAGATCAGGCTCTAGGTAGGTCCTATACTTTATAAATACAGGGGTCGAAACTTTTAAAAGACTTTCTTTGAGATATATCACAAGTCCACAAGTAAAAAACAACTTTATAGTTCTAACCATGAATTGTTCACTTTGCATTTTAATGCATGCTAATATAAAATGAGAATTAATAAAATGTCCAATTAAAAATCCTTAACATTTTGAATTCTAAATTTCTGATATAATTTTAAGTATTAATGAATCTAAGGAATTAGGTCTTGTCACAAACTAAAATTTTCTTTTACCAATATCTTTGCCACCTGAAAGTATAAATCTTAGAGATTTAAAACTTAGAATATTTAATCTAACATAATTGAGAATTATCCAAGGTCTACGCCGTTGTGTTTCAATGAAAAAGGGTTAAATAAATCAGATTTTGTAGTAAAGACTCATTTTTTCAGAATCTTTGGAACCGGATGGCTAAGTTTGAAATATCAAAATTAACGGCATCAAATATTGTTGATATTTGGATTTGATTTGATTTTTCTTTAAATGTCTTTGTTAGAAGAAAGGTTTAGATTTTTTAAAATTAATCAAATTTGATTTGTTTAGATGCTCGTGACGCGATATCTAAAGCCCTGTACTCCTCCTTGTTTACCTGGTTGGTCTCCAGGCTCAATAAGATCATCTCCGGAAAGAGCTCCAGGAGGTCCCTCAAGAACACCATCTCAATCCTTGACATTTTCGGGTTCGAGGATTTCCGTGAGAACAGTTTTGAACAGCTGTGCATCAACTACGCGAATGAGAGTCTCCACTATTTCTTCAATAAACATATCTTTAAGATTGAACAGGTACCACATTGTTTTAGTGATAAAGGGACTGTAAGCGTAATTTCAAGTAACCCTCCATGATGGCAATGCTCTATTCACAATGGTACCCATGAGTGATTTGCACATATTTACTGCAGGAAAACATTTAGAAATGATCAGAACGAAACACTTTAAACCTAGAAAAACGTCGATATTATTGATCAGATAAAGGATTTTAGGTAACCATTGTTAATCGCGCATTGCCACCTTTGATTTGAGGTTCATTTTAAATAACACTTACAGTCCCTTTAATATGACACTTTTCTCCAACTATTGTTTTCTAATCTGTGTATCTTTAAACCTTTGATATATTTCTAAATTTCTAAATTTTTGTTTATTGATTAACATTATCAAATTAATGTTAATTCTGTATTAAGGCTGAGTATAGTAAGGAGAAGATAGAATGGACTCCTATTTCATACATTGATAATCAGGTTTGTTATTTTATTATTAGTATTTCATTTCTTAAGTAATGTTTTGATCATTATGCATTTAGATTAAATATTAATAGCAAATCATGGATGAAGCTTTAGATGTGAACGATAAATTTAATTATTTCAAAAATAACGTATTTTAAACAATAACTCCAAAATTTTGGCAAAATGAAGCCATTATAAAATTTTGTGGAGTTATGCCCACAATCAACAATAATTTTTTTCAGCTTTTCAATTTTATCAGTAGAAACCTTTTATTACTGAATGATAAACAAAAAACTTGTTAGAATTGTAGATTTTTAAATTATTTTATATTTTAGGCGATAATTCATATGTTGAATAAGAAACCTGTTGGAATTTTTCATCTACTGGATGATGAATCTAATTTTCCTAAGGTAAGCATTCAAGCATTTAAGCAATCAAGCATTTAAAGCATTCAGCATTCAAAATGTGAGGCAGTTGGAAAAAATGATTTTTCAATCATGATACTTTACTCTTTACTTAACAAGCTTAAAAAAAATTTTCAAACAAAAGAAATGATTAAAAAAATATGATAATAATAATAAATTTTGAATGATTATATCCTTTTAGGCTTCAGATCTATCTTTCCTGGAGAAATGTCACTATAACCATGCTTTGGACGAACTGTATTCAAGGAATCAGCTTTATACATTAAAAAATTAAGCAAATGTCTCCAAATCTACTCATAATGCTGTGCAAATGTTGATTTTTATTTGATTTTCATGGAAAACAACCTTGTTTTATTTATTAACTTTTGAAAAACGTCTATTTCAATTTATAAAATGCAAAAATTAAAAGAAAAAAGAAGATTACAATAATTCCATTGTTTTCTGGAGACCACTGTATTGTATGACGCCTGATTGTTGCGTATAGACCTAGAATGAACTCCCTTGAGTTTGGAATTAAGCACTACGCCGGTCAGGTCTGGTACTCTGTAGACGGGTTCCTAGATAAGAACAGGGATACACTCAGGTATAATGATAATAATAATATTCATGATAATAATATTAATATTCCTTACTCAAGCAAAATCATTCTGTATCTTTTTAAAATCAAATTGATTTTAAGATAATGATGATGATGATGATATAAACAATAGAAATAGTTTTAGGAATTATAATGATATTAAAAATATTAACTATAATAATAATTATGAAAGTGATGATGAGAGAGGTTATGATAATAATGATATTGTCAATAAGAATAATAGTGAAAAATGCAATAATAATAAGAAAAAAGTAGATATTATCAGAAAAAAAACTTTTCCCAAAACAAAAAAAAACAATAGTTTCATCTGACAAACAAGTTCTCTCTGATAACACTTTTTTTAAAGACATTGTTAGTGACTTTACCTTTTTTTATAAAAACCCAATTGTGTTTTAATTGATAAAAATCACTAATATCATAATGATGATGGATACTAATTTGAACAAATTGCATTAATGTATGCATTTACAAATTTGAAAAGCTTAAGACAGTGATTGAAAAATAATTTGATAATTTGATGCTTTTATGAAAGTGTAAATGTGCCATTATTTCTATTGTTTACAACCCCAATATTTACTAGATATGATGTGATGGGGTTATTGATCAGCTCCAGGGAGAAGATGATCAGCAAGATGTTCCAGGATCTCAGGAACTTCCATGAGTCCAGCAAGACACTGAACAAACCGAACGGACAGTTTGTTACGATGAAACCTAGAACAGCCACGGTAGCTGCTAGGTTTCATGATTCTCTACATACCCTCCTAGGTTGGTAGCATTTTAAAGGGACTGTTCACTTAAATAAAAGGATTCTACTTTTTTAGAGTGAAATCCGATTCACACGGTACCCATTACTCAAATGTCTGATCTAGAATGTCAGAGAAAGCTTTGTTTTTAAGATTTTAAATTTTGTATCGTGGACGCTTTGAAACATTTACTCGTGGAATTGCATCAAATACATAGAAGAAAAATTTTCAAATGTTTAAACTCTCTGTTTTTTCAGGGACCATGGCAGTAGCAAACCCATTCTTTGTTCGATGCATTAAGCCGAACAATGACAAATGTCCAATGAAGTTTGACATGCCTGTGGTCCTGGAGCAGCTGAGGTATACAGGCATGCTTGAAACTATTAAGATGCGAAAGCTGGGTTACCCTGTCCGTAAGAAGTACTCTGCATTCGCCGCCCGGTATCGATGCTTAGTGGCCGGTCGGTTGCCACGTGGTGCGCCGACGAAGGAGATCGGTAGATACATTCTAGACCAGGATCCGGTAGAGAGAGATAACTTCCAGCTGGGGAGCACCAAGATCTTCATGAGAGAGACCCTGGAGCAGAAGCTGGAGAAGAGAAGGTTAGATCTGTTCTCCATCATGGTAGTTAAGCTTCAGAGACATGCTCGAGGATATATTGCTCGGAAAAGGTTTAACACAATGCGTCGTAACGCACTGATTATTCAGAAAACGTACCGAGGCTGGAGGGTTAGAAAACAGTACACTAAGGTTAGATCTGGAATTGTGAAGCTCCAAGCTACCTACAAGATGAAGAAACAGAAGAGTCTATATGGTGAGATGTTGGTGCAAGCTGAAACGGAGAAGCGTGCTAAAGAACTCGCCATGGAGCGAGCAAAGAAGAACGAACTAGCAGGAGAGAGAAATCATCTACGAGCAGTGGCTGGTGTAAACCATCTAGAGATCCCTGCAGAACTTGCATTTGTGTTCAGTAAACTAGACAACTGGACGCCAGTCAACAGTGAGAAAAATCTTGCTAAGGTTTCAGGAAGAATTCCTAAGATAAAATCCAACCATACCCTTCCCAACGATCTGGACTACTATGTCTTCTCTAAGGTTGCCAATGTGTACTTCAAGTCTCATCTCTGGCAGATGAGAAAGGAGCCCATCAAGACTCCATTCCTGTCTAAATCAAAGGAAAGTGACTACCAGGAGTCCCTTGCAATCTTTAAACTCATTCTTAGATTCATGAACGATTCTACTCTGAATGGTCAGAGAGAGAAGATTCTAGGAGACTATATCATCAACAAAGGAATACGGAATGAGAAACTCAGAGATGAGATATTCTGTCAACTTGCGAACCAGACCTGGAAGAATGACAATGAGGCGAATGCAGAGAGGGGTTGGTTACTTATGGCCAACTGCTTATCTGCCTTCTCCCCCTCAAGAACTCTGTACAAGTATCTTCTCAAGTATGTCTCTGACCATGCCTATAATGGTTTCAAGTATACCTGTCAGAACAAGATGCTAAAATCTGCCAAGCTTGATCATCATACAGCTAGATGCTTCCCTCCAACTGTACTAGAGTGGAGGGCCAATAAGAAGAGAGTTAACATGGCAATGGAGGTGGCTTGTCATGATGGAGAATCTAATCATGTTCCAATAGAGTCTATGAGTACAGCTCACAACTTCGCTGCTGCTGTTCTGAAAGACCGCGGTGTGCCTGAGTGCTATGGTTGGACTGTATCTATGGAGGATGGTGAGGAACTTGTTGAACTCAACGGAGATGACTTTGTTCTGGATGTTATTGGAGAGCTAGAGTTACCTCCGGCATTCCCGGGAATCAATAATCCATTCCTGGTCTCTCATGATAGAAGCAGAGGTCAAGTCCCGCTTACAATTGATACCAATGGACGTCAGTACAGGCATTCCTCCAGTCCAAGGGGACAGAAACCTCCTCGGCACCAGAGATCTAAATCCCAAGACCGTTTGCTGGCCATGCCGCAGGACAGCAAAGATTTTGGTCTGTCTAGCTCTGCGCTCAATGAACGCTACTTCAGTGATGCCAAGTCTACCCGGAGCAAATCTTTGGACAATTTGCTCCCAGCAGAAAAAAACTTTTTCGGGTTGAGTGAGAGCAAACTGAATCAGAGATACTTGTCTCAGGTACAGTGGAACTCATAAAACTGCGGAATAGGAAGACGACATTTATAAAATTTTCTGTTTCTGTAATGTTATTTTTAAGAAAATGGTTTTACCAGTGGCTTGAAAATCAACGTATGAAATGAAATGGGCTGAAAATACTTAACAATTGCTGTATTCCATTTTCATTGGTTATTTAAATTCTATCAATTGTCTTTCTACTCCATAGGTTAATGAGTACAACATTTTTACTATTTATTTAATCTTAAACGTTTTTAATGTGGGTCTTGTTTTTTAGGGACCCCAGTTTTTCTCCCGCGAGGACGAAGAAAGTATCCACCTAGAGAGTATATCTCAGAGAGGTGGCAAGGTTGAAAACTGGGATGATATCGGACTGTCCAACAACCCACTAAATGATAGGTAAGAATTTTGTTCTTCGTTATTGTTATTTTTACTTTATTCGTTTTCTTCTAGATATTTCAGCCAGCCTGAACTAAGTAATAGACCTAGAAGCCGAGGAAATAGTGCGGATATTGAGTCTGCTAAACTACCAAGGTATTGAAACTATATTTATTACATGGTTCATGTTCACAGCAAAGTTTTGTTTGGAGACACTGTGCAGATAATAAATCGTTAATGACGTTTCAATTTTTAGAAGGTCTAGCACACGCGAGGAGAAACTTGAGATAGATCTAGAACAGTTTGAATATCCCAGGTTTAAATTCTACTAATAAAATGATAATTCTCCTAATATCCAAATTTCTAATCGTTATATATATTTAAAAATATGTTGTAGATTATTGTTATTTCACACTATGAATTTTTATAGATCAACGGAACTGAGTTTTTGCAACCTGCTCAAACTTGTTAGCCCTGCATACTTGCAACCTGATAGTGTAAACCTTTGCTGTTTCAAACTGAGTCTTTCTAACCAAATATATAGTTAGAAAAAGCTAATGTTTACACCATCAGGTTGCAAAGATATATTGCACTGAAAATTAAAATATGAGGCGAATGTTTTGTTACTAAATAATTGCACAAAAAAGTTAATATTTCTAATATTAAAAAATATCAGGGAAAGAAGTGAGATTCGTCGTGTTGGTAATCCCCGCTTCCTCAAGGCCAATAATGCGCACAGGCGTCGGGATGGTGTTCGGTCATCTGCCATGTCCGACACCTCCGAGACCCCATCTCTGGCCTCACACGTTCGTCGTGTTCGTGTCCCTAGCCAGGCATCAGACGTGGATCAGTTCCTTGACGACCTCTTCATGCCCGTTCTGGACGGAAACATTGACGATGGATTATCTGATGCAAGGTCTCTTGCAGCCTCGATGCGCGGAGGAGGTTCGGATGAGAATGAATCTGTCTCTGAGAAACAGGCATCCTCTATCCTAGAATTTAGCAGGGTTGGATCTATCCGAAGAAAATCAGTTCTCAACCAAGTAAATATTTTTTTAAAGAAACTTTGGTCATTTATTAATTCATTTAAAAAGTGACATGGCCGATTCACAATGTTACATTACTACCCTTTGTTAAGTAAAGTGAAGCAAGATATCTTGAAAAAGGATATATCTTTAAATTTAATTTGCTTTTCTACTAAATAAACCAAAAAGTTATCAATAAACCCTTAATTGAAAATTATCAATTTTCAGATAAAAATTCTAGATATTTTTCAATTATTTTGCTATGACAAACTTTACATCAGATATTTTCTCTTTTTTCTTGAAGTTTACAGACAAAGCCAATAAGCTTTAATTTTACTTTAAACTCTCCTAAAAATATTAAATGTGCTGATTCTAATAATATTTAAGGATTCTGGAGAAGACGACATTTATTCTCCTCATCCCGTAACCCTAGTTTCAAGGATAATGGGAGGAGGAAGTCCTTCTCCCGCCGAGCAGGCCGCCAAGCCTAGTGATTTTACACCGATGACAAGCTCAGCAATGGGATTCCATCCTATTCCTGGTAAGATATTCTTTAAAGTTTGTTTGTATTGGCCCCCATTTTCCAAATTTTTTAGTTTAATGTTTTTTAAAGAAAAAGAATGGTAAAGTAAGTTTATTTGATTTTTTTGGGTTTTTTAGCTCTTTCAAATTTAAAATCTATATTTTAGAAGTAAATATAAGCGAAGTTTAAGATGAAATATTAACATTTTGTTTCTTTTTTATCCATTTCAATTTTTTTCAATAAATTCATTTAATGGAGACATAAATGTTACATACAAAGCAAAGAATGCAGTGTCTAGGTGTGAAATTTAAACGTAACATAGAACAAGAAATATACTTCCTGTCTTCAGTGCGTATTTTCTCCACCCGGGAGACTTAAACGTATTCTAGGCATGGTATTTTTAAACCCTAGACACTACAACTAACATAAAACAACAAATATATTCCATGCATTCTAGGCATGATATTTTTCAACCCTGGCGACTTAAACGTAACATAGAACAACAAATATGCTTTCTGATTTTCAGGCGTAATATCTCCTCAACCAGACTTGAATGTAACATAGAATAACAAATACATTGTTTGTATTATAGGCATGGTATCTTTTAACCCTGGAAACTTAAACGTAACATAGAACAACAAATATATATACCTCCTGTTTTCTAGGCGTAATATCTCCCCATCCTGGGATGATATCTCCTCCTCCGATGATAATGCCGACTCCGATCAGTTCCTCCGGATTCTTTTCTCTGGGTTCAAATCTACCAGGAGTACCTCAGGGGCTAACATCCCCTCTCCTTATGCAGGTGAACCTGTGAAAACAGAAATGGATTTAAAAATATTTCATTAAGTAGAACATACGTATTGCCTAAATTGAATTCTCGAAAACATGAACATATTTTATAGTTCCATGAAATGTTTCGTCTGTGAAATGCCCTTTCCATGCAACGTCCTATCTATGAAATGTCCTATCTATGACATGTCCTATCTATGAAATGTCTTATCTATGAATTGTCCTATCTATGAAATGTCCTATCTATGAAATGTCCTTTCTATGAAATGTCCATTTATATAACGTCTTTCTATATTATTTCCCACTATCCCCCGCCCACCTATCTATATTAATATAATGAAGGACAAAAGTAGAACATTTACTATTTAGGCAAAACTCGAAAAAGGATAAACATTTCTCTTAGTTTTATTATTGTCGATAAATGTTGATTGGTCTAGGCCCAGGACCCCTCCAACCAACAGCCGCCTGCAATGGCGTTCACCTATGTACCTGTCCCTGTTTACTCACTTGGGGGTATGCAAATCACAGGTAAAATTCTGATTTTATAATCCCAATATCTTTGCAATTGTTTTATTAAATAATCGTAGTTTCAAATGTTTACACCATTAGGTTGTAAAGATTCAAATCGTTTAGTTTGTGACAAAGACTCAATTCCTTTCCGTTTAAAAGGTTTAACACATGTAATCAGAAAAATATTTTATAATTTATTATGAAGCTTAATACATAAAAGCATAGTTGATTTTAAAAATAGTGTATTAATAAATATTGAAATATTCAGGGATGCCGGGAATGCCCGGAATGCCCGGAATGCCAGGCATGCCAGGAATGCAGGGTATGAGTGGATTCCCGAGCTTTTCAAGTTTGGGAGCAAATCCTCTTGGAGCAACTCAGGGGGCAACATCTCCCAGAGCAGACCAGCAACAACAACAACAACCAGCAGGGACCTCAACACCCTTGTCCCCTGGGGTAAATGCAAGGTAACTCGCATTCTTTATACATTTTTCAGATTTAAGAAATTAATCTAAATTAAACCATTTTTTAGTGTTGATTCCCAGCTGGCATATCAAACCAGTTTTCTGCAGAATGCTGTTGCTCAGAATATGCAGATTCAACAACAGCTGCTTGTACAGAATCAGGTAGAGTACACATATATATATATAGATTTTGCAAAAGTTGCTGTAAGAATATACATATACATATAAGATACAGAAATTTTCTGTTTGAATCATCTTATTTTTTTGCAGACAATCTTCTTGTTTAAGCTAAATATCTATTATGTACAATACTATATATTATGTTCACTTTTTGTACCTCCTTTTTCAAGTTTAAGTTTTATAAAACCATTTTTCATTTAAGGCTCTGACTCAGCTATTGCAGCAAACAAGTAACATGACTCTGATCAGCAGTGCATCTCCAGGTAAATTGGACTTTTAGATAAATCAGTTCTTTAAATGGACTTAAAGCCAAGAAAGGAATTAGATACTTGCAGGAAATTAAGAACTTATTTCTTTGCAAACTAGTATCGTAGTACCTTGGATATTTCAAACGATGGATTTTGTTAGTTTAACAAGTCAAAGATTGATATATCACAGGTTTGCATTATGAAGTTGCAAAGATATAAGGATTTAAAAGTTTTCAGTTCTTTTATTTATTCATTTGTTGCTTAAAACCCGTTTTCTGGATGCAACATTTTAAAAAATCTAAAATCAAATAAAAAAATATTCTAGATCCCAAATATTCAGGAGGCTCAGGAGCACCCCAGAAAACATCAACTCCAGTTAAACCAGCTCCAGTTTATTTTGGAATGGAACAGCAGTCATTTGAGATGCAGTTGGAGCAACACAGGAGAGCATCAGAGATAGTTAGGTAGGGTTAACAATTATATTTGAGATACTAGAGATAGTAAAGTAGGGATAGTAATTCTATTGAGATGTACTTGAAATCTGTAACCGTGTTTTAAGTTTCTCTAGTTCTAGTGGACAGACTGGAGTAGATCTGAAACCCCAATCTAAAACTTCTCTAATCCTAGTTCTAGTGGACAGACTGGAGTAGAATTAGATCTGTAATCCCGGCTTAAAACTACTCTATTCCTAGGTCTAGCGGACAAACTGGAGTAGATCTGAAACCCTAGTTTAAAGCTTTAATTTTTAGTTCTAGTGGACAGGCTGAAGTAGATCTGAAACCCCGGTCTAAAACTTCTCTATTTCTAGTTCTAGTGGACAGACTGGAGTAGAATTAGATCTGTAATCCCGGAGTAAAACTACCCTATTCCTGGGTCTAGCGGACAAACTGGAGTAGATCTGAAACCCTGGTTTAAAGCTTTAATTTTTAGTTCTAGTGGACAGGCTGGAGTAGATCTGAAACCCCGGTCTAAAACTTCTCTATTTCTAGTTCTAGCGGACAGACTGGAGTAAATCTAAAACTCCGATCTTAAACTTCTATTTCTGGTTCTAGCGGACAGTCTGAAGTAGATCTGAAACCCTGGTCTAAAACTTCTCTATTTCTAGTTCTAGCGGACAGGCTGGAGTAGATCTGAAACCTCGGTCTAAAACTGCTCCGAATACCCCGAAAACCTCGACAAACATTCCTCCTCAAGCTCCACCTTTACCTGGGGGTCCAATGGATGCGTATTCAAGGTAAAATTTAAATCAGGAATTTTTCCGTTCTTTCTTCATTATTATTTTTTATGAATTTTCGCTCAGCTCATCTAACTTTAAAATAATTCAATAATTTTGTCAAAACAAAATGTCTAAAGGGACAATCTTTTCAACCTGATTCTGGAAAACTTTGATATATTAAACGTTGATAAATTTATGAATGTAGCAGTATGTTAAAGTTCCTTTTCGTGCAAAAATAATAATATCAGAAAAGGATCCTCGCAATTTTTATATGATCCAGGGCCCAATTTTTAAAAATCCCGCCAATTCTGATTTGATGTGATCCAGGGCCCGAACTGTTCGAATTGGAAAATGGCGCTGGCCGCCTCCACAGGAAGATCTGGATGCAACTGCAGAAGGATTCTTCCAATTTAAGATGAGAAAAATGAGACAAAAGGTATATTAACAATAAACAATACATTTTTATTTGCAAAAAAATACATTTATTTACAATGAAGAAAGGAAAAAAAATAACGTACAAAGAAATTAAGGACAGGAGATAAATATATATAATTACGAGAGTGAGGACTTTAGGAGTTTAGGAATGAATGACAGGAGATAAATATATGTATATTAGGAGAGTGAGAACCAGGAGTTTAGGAATGAAAGACAGGAGATAAATATATGTATACTAGAAATTCAAGGCGCTTCGCGCCCTTCTTTCTAGCCTTAGAGGGCGCTTCGCGCCCATCTTCTAAATTAATTGTAAACATGTTCTCTTTGTGTACATCGTAAAACTAAAACAAAAATAATTCGCGGATTTTCACAAAAAATTTCGCGGATTTTCAAAATTTAAAAATTTAATGACGATCGAATTTTGATGGAGACAAATATTTAAAATTTTGATGATTCATAAACCTTCCCTGGGGTCCCTAGATGTCCCACAAAAAAATTGGGCCTGATCGGTTCAGCCGTTTTGACGTTTATTGGATACAAACAGACAGACAGACACCCAGACAGACAAGCCAAATTTATATATAGATTTAGGAGAGTTAGAACCAGGAGTTAAGGAATGAAGGACAGGAGATAAATATATATACGTATATTTAGGAGAAGTGAGGACCAGAAATTTAGGAATGAAAGACAGGAGATGAATATATGTATATTTAGGAGAGTGAGAACCAGGAGTTCAGGAATGAAGGACAGGAGATAAATATATATATATATATTTAGGAGAGTGAGGACCAGGAGTTTAGGAATGAAGGACAGGAGATAAATATATATATATTTAGGAGAGTGAGAACCAGGAGTTTAGGAATGAAGGACAGGAAATGACAGAAGAGATGCAGCGTCTAGAATGGGTAGAATTTAACGAGGAACTAAAAAGGTATTTTTTCTTTTTTTATATTTTTCTTTCATTGCTTGCTATTATTGTTTTGGTTGCTTTTTTTTTCATTGATTTGATTGATTTGGGTTAATTTAGTTTTCTGACTTTGATTTTATTCTGGTTTTTTTCTTCCATTTTTTACTTTTTTGCTTTTATTCTTATTGGTTGCTTTCATTGTTTTATTATTTTCTTATTCTATGCACTATGAATTCCGAAATAAACATGGGAATTCAGTGAAGAATTCGATATCGTCTTTGTTATGAACTAGCATTGTAATACCTAATTTCTAAAGCAATAATATCATAATGTCTGCTAGAGTGTATTTAATGAAAACGGTAAATGGCTGTAAAGATGGGTCTTTAATGTCTCTGCAAAATAAACAGTGAAGACTGCCACGTTTACTCTGTTTGTATACTGTAGTTTTCTTATTTTTTTAAGTACAACCAAATGCAATCAAAACAGATACAACCAAATTGTAAACATAGCATAAGAAAATTTTGCGGATTACATCTGATTCTGAAAGATAAAATAGAAGAAAACTATTAAAATCAAAAATTTTAGTTTACTACTCATGGTTACCTATACAGGCTACAATGGAATAAGGATGAGAATTCAGAGACAGTTTTGTCTCTGCAGTATTATTTTCTTGATCAATGGTTTCATAAAGCTTTAAGCTTTCTGCTTTTTTGCAAAACGATTGAGCTCGCTTTATAGAACTATAAATTAAAGCCTGGAAAATATTTAAAAATTCATATCGTCCGAGTCACAGTTGTGGGTTCTCATTAAAGGCTCATATTTGGTTCTTCTCTATCTAAAGATATCAATTGATTTTGTTCTTGTAGAACTCAAAACCAGGGTCTACCTGACCAACAAAATGAAGATGGACAAGGAAAAGGTAAGAATATTATATCTATATATAAATTTAGCTTGTCTGTCTATTTGTCTGTTTGTCTGTTTGTTTGTATCCAATACACGTCAAAACGGCTGAACCGATCAGGCCCAAATTTTGTGTGGGACCTCACGTGGCCCCAGGGAAGGTTTATGAATGATCAAAATTAAAAAAAAATTGTGCTGAACAGATTTTTTTGTTGTAAAAATATGAGGTTTTTATTGCAAATTTGGGACAAAAGCTTTTACAGAAATGTTCGTATGCCATCGTTTCTTTTAGGTAAAAAAATGATTTTAATGATTTAGTCTAAGTTCAATGATAATTTAAATAATACCAACAGGGTTTCAATGCAAACTGCTGAAAAAAGGAAACAAATTTTAGTTCGTCGTTTCAATTGTAAGATTTTTTAACAGTTTTTTAATAAATAGTTTTATGAGAATTTAAATATTACAGACACCAAGGTTCTCATTTTAAATAGTATAAACCAAATTTCTTCAAGTCGGAAATAGTATTTTTAAAGATTTTATTTTCTGTAGGATCTGTTGGAAAGCTGAAGCTAAGCAACATGATGAAAGAGAAGCTTGAGGCAGCCATGGGGTCCAGGAAGTCCAGTATGAGATCCAATAAGTCCAGGTCGGACCTGGACCTATCTCCCGAAGGGTTGGACCAACCGGACGAGGGTGTCAAAAAACTAAATGAAAACAGGAAACTTATTCTGGAACAGAAACTTGGAGGAGGGAAACTTAAAAAGTGGGAGAATATTGATCAGGTAATTATCATCCCAATTGTAAAAATAAATTTAATAAGAATACAGACGTCCCATTTTTGAGCTGAAAGTTTCTTTTATATTTATTATAATAATTTTTCTTTTACAGGGATTGCACCGCGCTTCCGAGGAGCCTCCGAGCCGTAAATCTTCTTTTGAAAAGAGGGCGGGGATACCTATCCCGCCCCCACCCCCTGTAGCCCCCTCACTTTCCCGTCCTCTTCATGTTGATACTGGGAACAGAGGTTCCGCCTCTCCTATGTCTAGCTTCTACTCACCAGGTCAGTTAACCCATTTAGGCTTTACTGTAGTCAAATCAAAGGAATTGAGTCTTTGCCACAAACTCTGATTTTCTAATCCCTATATCTTTTGAACCCAATGTCGCATACGTTTGATATTTCAAACTATGAATTCTGTTAAATAAAATATCAAAGGTTTATACCATCAAGTTTCTTAGATATAGGTTTTAGATAACTTGAGTTTGTGGCAAAAACTCAATTCCTTTATCCATACTTTGCAGGGATGGCTTAAGGCTTCTAAATGAGGGATTGAGTTTCAAGTCATGCGCAAAATCGGGGTTTTCAGCCTGATCTCTACCAACAAATTCTTGTTTTATTTTTATATTTAAAGTCAGTTTTCAGACATTGCGCGAATTTTTTTTGGAAAAATATTGGATTCTGTTCAATAAAGTTGTTACTGTGTACTGTGTACACTGCTGTACATACACTGTGAATTTACCGTAATATAGACTTTACTGAACAGTACTGTATGCGCTGCTGTAACACTGTGAATTTACCGTACATTATACTTTACTGTACATTACTGTGTAGGTTGTACATTCTACAGTTATTGTATGTCACTTTGTACACTGGACCTAATCAGATAGTAGTGGTATATATATATATAACTAATGTTTTGGTGGATCTATTCCAGTTATTGTTATATACAATTAATGTTTAGGGTCCTGTTATTTTTATTTATAAATAATGTTTAGGTGGATATACTTCTGTTATAGTTATAAACTAGCTGAATGGCCCGGCGTTGCCTGTGAAAAAAAATCTGATTTTTTTTTGAAAAAAAGTTATAAAAAATATTTTTAAAAATATTTCGATTTTTTAAGCCTATTACACCCCCCGGCCACCCATGAGAGACCAATCGGTCTAATTGTTTGGCGAACATATATATTTACGAATGTCTTGTTTTATTATTTAGATAAATAATGTTTATGTGGATACTCCTGTTATTGGTATATAGAATTAATGTTTATGGGGATCTACTTCTGTTATTGTTATTTATAAACAATTTTTTGCTGGATCTACTTCTGTTATTGTAATATATAAATAATTTTTAGGTGGATCTACTTCTGTTATTGTTATATATAAATAATGTTTAGGTGGATCTACTTCTGTTATTGTTATATATAAATAATGTTTAGATGGATCTACTTCTGTTATTGTAATATATAAATAATGTTTAGGTGGATCTACTTCTGTTATTGTAATATATAAATAATGTTTAGGTGGATCTATGGATCTACTTCTGTTATTGTAATATATAAATAATGTTTAGGTGGATCTACTTCTGTTATTGTAATATATAAATAATGTTTAGGTGGATCTAATCCTGTTATTGTTATATATATGATGTTTAGGTGGATCAACTCCTGTTATTCCAGATTCCAGGAAGCCCATCCCACCTCCACTCCCTCCAGGTAAAAAAAAATCAACTTAGAGACGGGTGTGAATGTCGTCTTTAATTGTATAAAGTAAACCAGAAAGCAGTGATATCATGACAGTTTTCGCTCTTTCTTTCAACTTTGAAGTGGTTAAAATGAAAATATTAATGGCGTATTTTAAGAGACGAATAAGCTTTAAAAAAACCTACATCTATAATTCTAGTAAGAACACGAACACGTAAATAATTTAGGGTTTCCAACGTAATAGATTATTCTCTTACGCGTAATTACGTGCAGTTACGCGTAATAATTTTCATTTCGTGTAATTTCGCAGGATTACACGTAATTGGGGAAATATCCATTTCGCGAAATTACGGCGTAATTTCGCGTAATTTCTACAACGTAATTTCGCGAAATTTCGTAATGATTATGCGTAATAATGAAAACTATAATTACGCGTAATTACGGCGTAGTTTCGCGTAATTTCTACGACGTAATTTCGCAAAATTTTGTAATAATACGCGTAAAAAGCGAAACTATAATTACGCGTAATTACGGCCTAATTTCGCGTAATTTAGTCCCGCTATAATTATTTCTGAGAATTAATATGTACTTTATTTATTACGGAATTGTTACGTAATACGTAATTTCGCGTAATTACGCCTTAATTACGCGAAACTAGACTTTCTTTTTTAAACGTAATATATGCGTAATTACGCGTAATGCTCCTGCGTAAGTGAAAGAAAGTGTTACGTTTCGTTACGCGTAATTACGCGTAACGAAATTATGACTGGAAACCCTAAAATAATTTCACTGATTTTAGTTGGAAACCCTAAAATAATTTCACTGATTTTAGTTGAAAAAAGATCAAAAACGTTTACAATATCAGAATTTCAGTCTTGGACGTTTGTGTTTTGTTACTGAATATTATTTCAATATTTTACTGTACGTTTAATTTAAATACTTAGAATAGGTTAACAAGGGGTTTACGTTTACTGTCAGCACAATTAAGGAGCAATTACAGCTGCAGCTAAATAAACAGTAAATAGCTTAGCTTCCCCATGTGCTGTGCCAGTACATGACAAAATATGTCCCTAAATTCTGCAGAATTGTTGGTCTCTGTTAATTCTTAATTTTCTTGATTAGCAGCCTGGTTTCCGTCTTCCTGTTTCAGTTATATTCGTCCCTAAATCAATGAATGGAACACGTTCATTAATCACCCAGTGTGTTATATGTACGTTTGTCTGTGAAGGGGTGTGTGTGTCTCTTTCATGGTTCCGGTTTTGAACCCGCTCCAGATGATTATTTTTATTAATCAATCATTTTCTTTCCATCTAAGAAAAATTTGGATTATTCAAAATTAAACTGGACTTATTTTTTTAGTGCATTTTTTATTAACGTATTTGCAACTTTTCCGTTTTCAGTATTTTTTTTTCATATTTTTAATTGACGTTTTAAATTTTAGAAAACTATTATGAATGGCGTACTTCATGTAAGTTTTATGAATTTAAAAATGGATAATTCATTTTCCTGTGAATAAACCAAGTCAGATTTATTTAAGTTTCAAAGTTTAATCAAATTTTCCAAAATAATCTTCTTAGATGGATTTTAAATAATTGGTCACTCGAGAAACCATCACAGAACTTGTTTACTAAAAACAGAACTTGTTTACTAAAAACAGAACTTGTTCAATAATTAGAGAAACTTTTAAAAACTCCAGGATCCCTTTTAACCCAACCTTTCCCTCCCAATCCAACCTATTCCTTCTGATCCAACCTTTTACTTCCAATCCAACATATTCCTTCTGATCCAACCTATTCCTTCCAACCCAACCTATCCCTCCCAACCCAACCTATCCCTCCCAATCCAACCTATTCCTTCTGATCCAATCTATTCCTTCCAATCCAGCATATTCCTTCCAATCCAGCATATTCCTTCCAATCCAACCTATTCCTTCCAATCCTACCTTTTTCTTCCAATCCTACCTATTCCTTCCAATCCTACCTTTTACTTCCAATCCAACCTATTCTTTCAAATCCAACATATTCCTTCTGATCCAACATATTCCTTCCAATCCAACCTATTCCTCCCAATCAAACCTATCCCTCCCAATCCAACCTATTCCTTCCAATCCAAACCTATTCTTTTCAATCCAACCTATCCCTCCCAATCAAACATATCCCTCCCAATCAAACTTATTCCTACCAATATCCAACCTATTTCTTCCAATCCATCCTATTCCTCCCAATCCAACTTATCCCTTCCAATACAACATATCCCTTCCAATTCGACATATACCTTCTAATATAGTCTATTCTTTCCAACCCAACCTATCTCTCCCAATCAAATCAATATGTTTGCTAGTCTTCAGCCAAATCTACCTCCCTAGTCCGTCCTATCCTTCCTATAGTTTGATGTATCTCTCCCAGTAATGAACAAATGATCCATGTCAAGTATAAATTTCAAAAACAGATTCTTTTTATAGAAAACAATCATTCATGATTGTAAATAATTGGCAAAATTATCTAAGAATTAGTGGAACATATTTAGCCCGGGGTGTTATCATAATTTCTTGAGTTTTGGTTGGATAGTTTTCATTCGGTAGTATATAAACACATCAGACACTGTACAGTCATATTTATTATATTTAATACAGGAAGTTCCAATAAATATGGGAAATATTAAACCATGCTATAAAGTGATAATTTTGACTGTAAGTGTATGGTGCCCATTGTTTTGTAAGATTTGAGCAAACGATGTTGTTATTTCAAATTAATGAATGGACTTAATCATTTCCTTGAATTTGAAGATTAAAAACGGTAATTTTATACTTTCATACAAAACCATGTTTACAAGGTTTTGCTGTCCAGAACTTTTTAAATGTCTATAATATTTACATCAAATAACAATTAAAATAACTTATAATTTGCTATCACGGAAACTATATACAAGGTTTTGATATTTCCCATGTATTTATATAAATGTTAAATGTCAAACAAATGTTGATTTGCTTTGAAGTTTACAATTACATAGTTTATACTACAATAATAGAAACAAGTGAATCTGGCAGGTGGGATTGGTTTGCATGCTATTTGTGTACTGTAGGTCTACCCGGAGATGTAGATATGTTCCGGGATAGAAGAGGATCTGTATCAACACAGCAGACGGAGAGAACGGAGAGGTTTGAACTTGAAGAGAGCTCAGAGTTCCTTAATCCTGTGGATAGATCAAACTTTGCTGATGATCTGGATTATCAGGTAATGACTTCAGCTAAACTGAGCTGCAAACTTTTGAAAAGTCGGAATTAGTTTGGCTCATTCTACCGGGAAATGTTAACCTATCTCTCATCGTGCAATGTCCTGACATGTTAGAATCCATGGAATAGGTTTCTTCCATTTAAATAATAGTAATAATATTCAATATCACTGCAAAGAAATGACAGAGCTGGGAACTTTTAAATGGACATAAGGAGTTTAACTAATTCAGGCTCTGGAGGATATTAAGACTAGGTTACACACCCCGACCTCTGGAACTCATTTCTCCTACAACCGTGTTCCCTGGAAGCTCAAGATTAGGAAGGAAGTTTTCTCTCCGGGAGAACAAATCTCCAGTTCTCAGGTTTATATAATCTATCTTTACTGTAATTATAATACAGTGTGACTCACTAAATATAATTATTCCTAAGTAGAAATGCATCTAGTCGTATTGAGATTAGACCAGTTATCATGTTATGTGAAACCAATCTAAACATATGATGCATTATTTAATTAAAGTGATTTTTTATTTAAATCAGAAACAGAAATATCAATTAAAACCTTTAATCAATAATGTTTAGGCAATACACTTGGTGTTCTGTCAAATAGTTTATGACGTGTACAGTCCCTCTAATCAATAATGTTTAGGCAATACACTTGGTGTTCTGTCAAATAGTTTATGACGTGTAAAGTCCCTTTAATCCATAATATTTAGGCAATACACTTGATGTTCTGTCAAATAGTTTATGACGTGTACAGTCCCTTTAATCCATAATGTTTAGGCAATACACTTGGTGTTCTATCAAATAGTTTAAGACGTGTATAGTCCCTTTAATCCATAATGTTTAGGCAATACACTTGGTGTTCTGTCAAATAGTTTATGACGTGTACAGTCCCCTATGTATCCGATTGAACCCTGGCGAGCGAAGGAAGCTAATGAGTACTCTACAGAAACATGAAATTGATCCAAACAATATGCACAGGTGAACTACACTTCTTATTCTTAAACTAAATGATATCCCAGTTAATTTAAACTTAAACCGATTATTATCGATTGAGGGATCTTTAAAAGATAGAATAGAACCCATTTTAGTTTAGTAAAAACGATATCTTCCACATTTTATATTGATCAGATAAAGATCTCAAGGGTACTGTTGTGAATCGGGCATGAGTCTCTTTAAATGAAGAATCCCTAAATTACAAAAGACTCGTTAAAAATCTCTGGTGAAATAGATTTTTTTATGTAATTTGTTATTTTAAAATAATTTCGGTTTCTCGGTATCAGCATCGTTAAAATTCGTTAATTTGTAATTGTGATTTTAATTTTCCAATTTTTATTTCGAATCACAAATAAATAAAAGAAAGCTTACAGTTTCATAGAATGCCTCTTTTGGAAAATTTTAATTGAAAATGTCCGGTTCAAACTGAAATGTGTATTCTAGTTCCCAGCACAAGAATTCCACAAAAAAGACGATTATAAACCTTGTCAAGGATTTCTCCACATACTTTGCTAGAATATATCCAGTATCAGCTAATATCCAGGTATAAATATTGATTCTATATATCCAGTATCAGCTAATATCCAGGTATAAATATTGATTATATATATCCAGTATCAGCTAATATCCAGGTATAAATATTGATTATATATATCCAGTATCAGCTAATATCCAGGTATAAATATTGATTTTATATATCCAATATCAGCTAATATCCAGGTATAAAAATTGATTAGATATATCCAGTATCAGCTAATATTCAGGTATAAAAACTGTTCTAGGACCCTGAGTTTCAATCTATACTGTTCTGAACCCTGAGTTTCAATTATACTGTTCTAAAACCATAAGTTTCAATTTATGTTGTTCTAGGACCCTGAGTTTCAATACTTGGCAGTCTCCCACATTGGAGTTAAACTACTCAGGAGGGAGAAGAGTCTTCCTACAGATTACCTCAAGGTAAGGATAAGGATAGTTAGGGAGGAGAGGGATAGGAAGGAGAGGGATAGGGAGTGAGGAGAGGGATAGGGAGGGATAGCAAGAATAGGGAGGGAGGAGAGGGTGGATAAGGATGATAGGGATAGGTAAATGGATATGTACAGGGAAGATAGTGCTTAGGGAGTATAACTGGGATAGGGTGAAGAGGGATGTCTCCCTTTAAAGAGAAGATTAGAAATAGTGGAACTAAAAGCCAGTTATCTATCCGCGGTTATTGCGCTTGATATATTCTTAATTGCAGATCTTTAATGTATAATCATGGGAAAATATTCACTAATGATCATTTAGATAGCGTACAGGTTCGAAAGAGCAACAATCAAAGTTTTTTTCTACTTTTAATTATATAGACAAGTATAAATATGAAAGTTTTGAAATGTCGTTACTTCATAAAATCTATCTACCATGTGCGAAACTTAACTTAATCTTGAAAGTGGTGGATTTGTTATAAAAAGGCTATTCCAGGTTTTCATTTCATCCTTATCATGATAAACTAGTTTTTTTAATGTCCAAATAGTTTCTCCGACCTTCGTTCCTAATTAGCAGAACCTGATCATTTGTTCTTAACTTGACATGTATGTTGAAATCAATAGACCCTTACACCTAGCTTTGATCGAAATATCTAAGTAATAAGTTATCCAAACATAGATTATCATAATTAGCAGAACCTGATCATTTGTTCTTAACTTGACATGTATCTTGAAATCAATAGATCCTTACACCTAGCTTTGATCGAAATATCTAAGTAATAAGTTATCCAAACATAGATTATCATAATTAGCAGAACCTGAACATGCAACCTTAACTGGACATGTATCTTAACATTATTAGAAATTTAGAACATTTTTGTTCTTCTTTATAACTCTAAAACAGAAGGAGTGATAGTTGAAAACATAAAATTTCAATCTTACATACAATTTACTTTAGTTTGACGTGAAAGCTGTTTAATTTAGATTTTTTTATATTGTTTAATAATATTTCATGATTGTAAAAATGTATCAGTCCATTACTGAAGCATGAAACAGTAGATTTATTGTTTAAAGGGAGAATACGCCTACATACATCAGATATATGGCAATGAATGTCATTTCCCAACAAAATATACGATATTTTTTTAAGAGATGATTTATTTTTTGTTATTTAAATTTTATAATTTTATTGCTTTTTAAATCTGTCCTTACTTCCAACATCTCTGTTTTCGGTCGCCATCTTTAAAGCTATGTCACGGTTGATAAATAAATATATATTTACTAGTTCAGTTTAGCGCAGCGAAAAGTTTAAACAACATAATAATATACAATGTATAGAATTAAAGGGAGTGACCGGCAATGTATGATAGTTGAACTGAGAATGTAGTATTGTGGAGAAATGTAAGACCTATGAGACGTTTTTACCGTGCATATTTGTTCAGCAAGAGGCAAATTCTATCTTTAAAATCATCATAGATTATTCATTTTTGAGGGATTATTTTGAGAATCGGTCCCTTTAAAAACTATTCAATTACGTGAACGGAAAATGCAGTAAAGATTCTACAGTAAACTAATTAGATGTTTAGGATTAGGTTGAGAGTAAAAATTAACTACTATCATTGAAACTAAGTAATCTTATTCAGTTATTGGTTTCTGTAATGTCTCAGTATTCACAAACATTTTCTGTAGATTTCCTGGAATTTGTATTGAAAAGACGACAATATAATATAATATAATGATGAAAAAGAAATAATCGATTCTAACATTAATTTACAGAGAAAATTTCGATTGGCAATAAGTTCCTAACATCTAATTAGTTTACTTTAGAATTTAAAAAAATCTTTTCTCCAAAGGTAACCATGCCTAAATGGATGAGTTTTAACGTTGACTCTGCGCTCAAACTGATACCAGGCACGATATGAGATCTGTGTGTATTTTGAACCTATACAAATTGTAAATTTTTATATATATATATATATATATATATATATATATATATTGCATATATTCAAATATTTGCTTTTTAGTATTTACATTTAAATTGTAAATCCTCTGTGTAAAGGTCGTTTTCCTGTGCAAAATATTTACTTTATATTACTTGTATATGTATATTGTAAATTCTCTGTGGAAAGGTTATATCCCTGTGTAAAAATATTTACTTTATATTGCATGTAAATGTAAATGTAAATTGTAAATTCTCTGTGTAAAGGTTATGTCCCTGTTTAAAATATTCACTTTATATTACTTTTAAATGTAAATGTAAATGTAAATTGTAAATTCTCTGTGTAAAGGTTATATCCCTGTGTAAAAATATTTTATACTTTATATTGCTTGTAAATGTAAATGTAAATGTAAATGTAAATTGTAAATTCTCTGTGTAAAGGTTATATCCCTGTGTCAAAATATTTACTTTATATTACTTGTAAATGTAATTCCTGTATAAAATATTTACTTTTTATTAAGTATAAATTGTTGCTCCTTTCTTTTAAGATATAAGATATAAACTAAGCAATGAAGAAAAAAGTGATGCTATTGTTTTGTTTTAGAGTTCAAAATTTTCTTAAATTTACCGAGCCAGACAAATGTCTGCTCAGCCGCTTCTGTGTTTGGATGAAGAAATGTTTAATATAGTTCATGAAAAAGCCCTACCTTTTTGTCGTCTTCCTGAATTTCAAAGGTTCAGGTACTCTGTCTTCCCTTCTCATAAGCCTGTATGTGACTATAAATGATATATCGGCTATATTTCTCCAATACCACGATGATAATGACTCCACGATGTGTGTGAATCTATGCGCAATTTTACTGTGTATAATTCTCTACTCTATCCTCTCGTTATTTGTTGATTGTTGATGGAAGACGACAACCAAGGCTGCTTTTTCACATTCGTTAACACTGTTCAACGTATTCATTAATTTATAATAATTGGATAATCTTTCCTACATTTTCACGGACATGGTTTTAAAGTAAAGGCAACGGGTTTTTTACGAAATATTGTATTAAAGAAAAGAAAAATAAAACTGTCCCCTGAATTTGCGCATTAATATTTAATGAAATAAGAAAAGGTAATTTCCTTTATGTGAAATGAATCAGCTCCATTTGAGAGAAACCATTACTCCGTGTTTAGCATCTGGACAACTGGTCCATTTCACAATTCCAAAGTTTCAAGCGTTCAAGGTTACACTTTTAAGTCAGAATATCATTAATGATTAACATATTAGGAATTTTTGTTGATTTCCATTATTATAAATAAAATCTATAGTTCAACAAAAATGATATTCTGACCATATTATCATAAGATAAATAAGTATTATTGATATTCCAGGGGGATATTAGTTCCAAAACTAATTCCATTTCTAACACTGCGTTAATTCTCTGGATATCGCATTTTATAAATGACAGGGTTTGCAAAAAAACAGGTGTAATACAAGACATTTAGCATGAGTTTAGTTTAGTTATTCAGAGGTGGTTTTCAGAAATGGAGTTTCATTTTGAATTTTTTGATGTTTTCTCAGATCTGTTGTTATCAGGCAAAAATCGTCAGCAAATGGCAGAGTAATAATTTTCTCTTCATTCAGATTAAATCCACAATCATTCTTACTCTGTAGAAATTCAATGATTGGATTGAAAACCATCAGAAATATGATGGGACTAAGCGGGTCACCTTGAAATACTCCTCTTTTAAAGGGGAATCCATCAGTAGAGAAGTTGTCCGTAAATACACGAGAAAGTTGGTTATTATACAGGGTGTTGATATAAAGCTTAATTTCTGCAGGAATATTAAACCTTTTCAGGGTATGTTTTATGAGAAGGTGCGGCAATGAACCAAATGCATCTTCTAAATCGAAAAATGCAATAAGCGTCAATTTTAAACTCAGTAATTATACATCATTAAACCGTTTTATATGACTCAAATTAATCCTAAAGAATGTCTCCACAATACTACATTCTCAGTTCTATAAAATAAATTGCCAATCACTCCCTTTAAAAATAGTAATATTTGTCCCTAGCCTGTTTTTATTTTGTTTTTAAGTCAAAGCATGCAAAACATGTTTGTTTATTTGGAATGCATATATCGATAATTATGAAATTGAATTAACACAAAATTTCTTTATTTTATTCTATAAAAAGTAATAATTCCTGATAAGGACAAAGGCTTGTGCTGCTCATTAGTTGTGACTTGTGAGCAAATTCTATAGGTACTATACTATAAAGCTGTAAAAAAATTGATTATCTTCATAATTTTAAAACATGTGTTAATTATAACAGTTTCGTCTAACTTATTTCACAGGACACAAAACATATAGATAATTTTTGAATAATTACACTATCAATGGTTTTCTTAACTGTATTTCCTACGCTCGAGCAGCGTTTCGATCTTTTTAATTTTTTGATAATATATATATATATATATATATATATATATATATATTATATGTATATAGTATTTAATGACTATAAATAATAATGTTACACAGTAAATAAATTATAAATGCAGTAATAAAATAAAATAAAATTATATTCAAAAACGCATATCTCATGAATTTATTTTGAGTTTGCTAGCTTACAGCGTGGAAGAAAAATATATAAAAAGAATTTACTTTTTAAATGAACAAAATCCATGAAGTTTCAACCTAATATCGTAACTGACATGGTTTGTAAAGAGTTGAGACGTCGGTGTGACTTTTGAACTATAATTTTCAAACTTTAATCAGATGGTGAAAATCTATATAATGTATTTCAAATTCTAGCAAATGTCACAGCTTGAAATAGCAAAGGTCTACAACATCTAAAAAGATTAGAAAAGTTTAGTTCGTAGTAAATAATTAGTTTCTTAATAGATTATAAAAAATACTTAAATATTATTTTTAGGTTGTTGATTTCTTCAAGTTTGAAGATATTGGCGAGACAAGTCGGATTAAAACTACAGGATTACAGTTGATAATGCATACTGGAGGCAGGCTACTCGTACAAACTAATAAAGCAGGTTGGTTAGTTGACAATGCACCCTAGAGGTAAACTACTTGTACAAAATAATAAAGCAGGTTGGTCAGTTGCTAATGCACACTAGAGCTAGACTACTCGTACAAACTAATAAAGCAGGCTGGTCAGTTGCTAAAGCACACTATAGAGCTAGACTACTCGTACAAACTAATAAAGCAGGCTGGTCAGTTGCTAAAGCACACTAGAGCTAGACTACTCGTACAAACTAATATAGCAGGCTGATCAGTTGCTAATGCACACTAGAGCTAGACTACTCGTACAATGCACATTGGAGGCAGGCTTCTCGTACAAACTAATAAAGCAGGTTGGTCAGTTGACATAAACACTGGAGGCATGCTTCTCGTACAATCTAATAAAGGTATGACAAAGGTACCATACCTTTGTGCTCGAATTATGAACGAAAAATCGGCTATTTCTCCAGCCACATTTGTCTTTGAAAAGTAAGACTAACACCAATCAACAGCGAATAGGCTATTTAGTTTACCCTGAAATTACCCAAATAAGTGAACAGTAAAGTATAGTAAAAAGTTATGAATAACTTTATAATTTTTTTTTCTAGGTGCAATAAAAGACCTGATTCAGCAGTTCAGTCTAGAAGCACGGTCAGGACAGTACGAATACTCCAGAGCACTTGCGGATTTTACATCCCGTGATGAAAATGCGCTAAACCTCCGAAAAGGGGATATAGTCGCGGTAGTGCGCAAAGACGACCCATACACTCAACGTGGGTGGCTCTATGGCATCAAGGAAGGCCAGTACGGACTCTTCCCAGCTGATTATGTGGAGAAGCTTTCTCCAAACTCGATCAGGTCTAAAAAATCTGAAAAAAAATAAAATGAAGAAAAATACTAACATAAAATTTTTGTTATTATAGACGCGAGATTAAACTGATCAGTAGAATTGGACAGAACAGCAAGAGACTTGAATCTCGAGATATTCATCTCTCAGCAGAGAGCCCCTACGAGGAGGCACAGAGCCCACATAATACTAGTGGGGAGGATGGGTGGGGCAGTAGGTAGGGGTTAATTCATATTTTTTTTTTAAAGAGAACTAGTTTCTTGCCTCAAACTCTAATATTCCAATATATATATGGATATTAATGGCGTATACTGTGACCTATTCCAGATAAAATGGTCATAGTTTAAAGTATCAAAGGTGTAAAACACCAGTTGCAGTGCGGCAATTAGTCAGTTTTTTAGTTGACCACTTTTATACCTGTGGATTTCTATAACACACTCTGACAAGAAATTAATTTAATTCTGTTAAAAACATAGAATATATTTCTTTGTTTTTCAAAATAATTTACGGGTTCCCCATTATTATGAGTCGACCGTACTGCGCTGTAAATGTCTGTTTGATAAGTCGATTTATTTGAGATTCCTTACATACAACTTGCAATTTTCAAACTCACATTTAAGTCGGGTTTGAAAACAGATTTAAATGCAAAAAAATTATTCCAAGGTATAATTTTGCAAATTCATCTTTTTTTATGAAATAAAATTAAGTTTGCAAGCAAGCAATTTATATCAGAATTATCAAAAGTCTATCAAATTCATGCATACATAAATTTCAATTTTTAAAATTTTCAAAATAGAAAAATTCTGATATTTGTGATTAATTTAACATGATAAATGGAAACCGGAAAAAGTTGATGAATAATTTTACCTTTTTGAAATTAATTTTAATTATAATACTTAATATAATATAAATAAATAATATAATAAAACAGTAATTTTAAAACTAAAAAATCAATAATTCGCCTAATAGAGAAGAAATAAAAGTAACTCGTGATATCCCCGAAGCTATATCTTTGCAATCTGATGGTGTTTCACCCCGGGACTAACCAGAAGCATTCGGTTTCTTCTATTTGAGATCAAACGTGTTTTGGTCTTTAAGGCACTTATCTTTCAATTTACGGATTTGTTTATTTTGTACTTTTTCATTCAAATGTATATGCCGACAAAAATGTATCTTAAGAAAAAAGACTAAAAATTATGCTCAATGGGTAAATTTTGAATTGCCAGAACCTTTAAATCTACGTGGTATATCTTTCATCGTTTAAGCTTAGACTATAATATCTAGCAGAATTCGTAAATTGATATATCATGTTAGTGACATCAGGTGGCAAAGAAATCAGGATGATTAAATTTAAAGCGAGTTATCAGATCTTAAACATCGTTTTAGCCATCCTAATATTTCAGGGGAAGCAGGAAGGATGAGGATGATGAGGATGAAGATGAGGAGGATGAGGAGGAAGGATGGGGAAGGAAGAGAGACTCTTTTGAAAACGGAGATATCAGTGATGTCAGCATCAGCGCAGCGCAGGTTGGTTTTATTACAACTCTGTTTTTTTCGTAATATCTTTAAAGGGACTGTTCAGGTAAAATGAAAGGGAATGTAGGCTAATGTATTGAGAGGAATCAGTTTCAGGTTTCCTTTCAATAAGACCCAGACAACAAGTTTTGTCGATGGGTAGACTTGTGAATATAATGAGCAAGTTTTCTTTATAGATGTTTATTTTCAACCTTCTCATTTACACTAAACACTCGTCAAAAGCACATAACTGAAATATACAAAATAGTTAAGATATATAACTTGATAAATATGCATACACTTATGCATACAATCTAAAGGTTATTTAAGGTTTACAACTATTACCTTTTTATATTGATAAATTCATCTTGGAAACTGTCTCCACACCTGCGAAAGGTGCGGAGTTTAAATGGAAACTACCTGCTTTGTATTGTAAGACAGACCAACAGTAATGTCGTCTTTTATAAATATATCAAAGCTAAACAGCTAAAGCCTAGAAATTTTAGGCGTTGATCGCGACCAGTAATATTTCAATCTGGTGTCTCTGTACGTTTAGAAAAGTGGAAAATAGCACAGTTTCAGAGTTTTTCGAAAACTCGTATATTTAAGGCTTTAGTCTATACCACCTTTCATTTTACCTCAACAGTCCCTTTAAGTCAAAAAGAAGGTATAATTTTATTATCTTTGAACCCTGATATCACAGGCCTTTCACATTTCAGATTTCTGATAAATATAAAACATCCGAGGTTTAAACAATCAGAATGCAAAGATATTGATATTAGAGAATTAGAATATGTGTCAAAGTAATAATATCTTTTTCACTTATTGCTCTGATGGAGTTAATACAAAAAATATCATAATCATGAAGAAATCAAGTAATGACCCTGGTTTGGACAGACAGCCTAGGTCCTTATGGGAAATTAAAGATATTCAGAAATAAGTAATTTTTGGGCAAACCATCTAGGATAAAGTCTCATCCGGCCTCTATTTCTTTTATTTATAATATTTCAATGTTTCATTTCTCTAGGTTTCCAACGATGGTAAGCACCCCCTCCTAGAGTTTGCAATGAGCTTCTTCAGAGAATCAAACTTCGAGATACCCGGGGAGGGAGGCAAGGAGAAGAAGAAGAAGAAAAAGAAAGGGAAGACGACAGATTGGACCTGGAAAGAGCAGGTTTGTTCTGATTTTGTGTTTCTGTTAATCATCAACATATCGTACTATTTATCTATTTATCAAACTATTTATTTATCTATCTATTCTATCAATCAACCTAAAAATAAGTTTTGTTTCAACTGGAGGTAAGATTAAGAAGAATTGTATCTATCTATCTCTATATCTATCTATCTATCAAGTTATCTTTCTATCTATCTAGCTATCTATATATCTATCTAGTTATCTATCTATATATCTATATATCTATAGATTTATTTATCTTTCTTCTCTAGGTTGAGCTGGTAAAATGGACGGACAAATGTATAGAAAACTCCTTGCTAAGACTTGAACCTGCAGATTTGAATAAAATTGCTCTTGAATGCTTTGCCAGTATTATGAGGTTAGTTAGTATTAATCTGTATTATGAGAAGAAAATATAAAATAATTGACGACGTCGATGACCTTTATGAAGTTTTATATTTTAAAATTGGTTTATACATGCTGTAGAATGCTAAATAACAAAGTATTAAACTTTTCTCTTAAAGGTGTTCTTGAGTTGTCATGAAATATTTTTAGAAGAAATACACAACTTAGCTGTTGAAATATTCAACGTTCAAATCTCAAAAGAGATTAAAAATAATTTGAAGAATTAAAACCATTTCCTCCAACTCTAATTTTATAGTCCTTACATTTTTGCAACCTGAATATGTACCCCTTTTATATATAATCTTATTCATGGTTTAATAGATAAGAAAGGTTGCAGGTGGCAAAGACGCTTTAATAAAAAAGTAATATAATTTCAGATATATGGGAGATCTAGAACTGTTGAAGAACCAACATGAGGTTGATTGTGCTCTAACTGTCCTTGGATACTGTTACAAGTTCGATAGTTTAAAGGTAATGTTTTTATTGGGACCCCCTGTATACAAACTATCTGTTTATTGGGACCCCCTTTATACAAACTATCTGTTTATTGGGACCCCCTGTATACAAACTATCTGTTTATTGGGACCACCTGTATACAAACTATCTGTTTATTGGGACCCCCTGTATACAAAAATTTCTGTTTAATGGGACCCCCTGTATACAAAACTATCAGTTTATTGGAACACCCTGTATAAAAAATATCTGTTTATTGGGGCCCCCTATATAAAAACTATCTGTTTATTGGGACCTCCTGTATACAACAAATCTGTGTATTGTGCCACCCTGTATAAAAAATATCTGTTTATTGGGGCCCCCTCTATAAAAACTATCTGTTTATTGGGACCCCGCCCTTTATAAAAAGCTATCTGTTTATTAGGACTCCGCCCTATATAAAAAACTATCTGTTTATTGGGATCCCAGCTGTATACAAAATATCTGTTCATTTATAAAACTATCTGTAAATTAATGGTAGTTCCTGGGTTCTATTGGATGAATTCTAGTGCAATTTATTGTATTTTGTGATAATATGTCATTTATAAAACCGATTCAAACCAATTTATCATTCTGCAAATATACCATCCATTTTTATTTATACAGTTTAATGTATGGTTTTCACTGAGTTTTTAGGATACTTTTTATCTATCTAAGTCTTAATAAATATTTATTTTTGGAAATATCTTTGTATTTGAGACTTTTAATCATTTTCAAAACTTGGTGGTTTGTTTACATTTGGTTAGAAATTATTCAATCCTGGGCTAATTGATTGTTTACTTTTTTAGGACGAAGTGTACTGCCAGATAATGAAGCAAACAACAAACAATAAATCCCGACAGCCGGACAGTTGTCAGAAGGGATGGAGACTCTTTTCTATCATAGGAAAAAAATAATATTTTAAACTAAATGAAATAGAAAAGGTTTAAAAAGTGTTCTATTTTGAGAAGTGTATGATTTTCACAGTTTCCTCCACTGTTGAATTTTGACAATGTCTTTGCTGCAGAAATCTGAAGTCATTTTTACCAGAAATTACGATTTAAAATAATCAAATTCCAGAAAGCAAAACATTGATAATTGAACATTGATAAATAACAGTAAACAGACCACTTTAGAGTCACTTAGAAGTTCGTTTTGGGTCCTTTCTAGATAAAAATATTGTTATCGTTCCAGCGTCGTATTTTACCTGTTCTGATCTGCTGAAACCGTTCCTGTTTAAATACCTAGAAACAGCAGCTTATGACAAGCGGCGAGCATATCATGGAACAGCTCTGGTCTGTCTTCATAATCTCAGGTATTTACTTTATACAAAAGGAATGCGGTCAAAAAAGACTGAACACGACTTGAAATCTAATCTTATCTTTGCAACCTGATACTATAATATATCAAATAGTCAAAGTTTGAAATATAAAATTAGACGGTTACACCATTAAAAAAATTCCCAAAAATGGTGTTTATCTATACCATTTATTGTGCAACACTCAGTAGTTACTTTTTATTGTGTGTCTAGGAAAACTTTTAAATATGGCGGCCGCAAGATGGCGCCCAGCATTGACGAGATCACCGCCATTTCCGCGGGAAGGAACAGCAAACGACAGATCTATCGGCTCCCGGGTAACAATACCAAAAAAATGATAAAAAAAAACAAAAAAAAATAAAGAATCTCTAAAATAATCCCTTCGCGCGATATTTTTATTACGCTAATGCAAGGGCGTATTAATGAGGATGAACTTGTAAAGAAAAAGGCAAAAATGCTTTTAGACAAAAATTAAATCTATGTTTCAGGAGGAACTGAAAGAGTAATCAACACTAAATCAACAACAGTAGTTGAAGACATTGTTGAGGACTTCTGTAAAGTGATAGGTATACATTTAGTAAACGTTTTGGTTAAAATTATCTATATAAACTCCTTTATTTTGCTTTGTGAATTACGAAATTTATCTCTATTGGTAATCCTAAAGAGAATAACATTAATTTTTTTTATTTATAGACGCCAGCATACTATTTTTTGTATTTTTAATGAAAATGTTTATAAATCTTATGTGAAAAATTTTACTTTTTCATGCTTAAAGGGACTGTAAGCGTAATTCTAAGTGACCCTTCATGCAAAGATAGCAATGCCGATGTACCACGGGACCACCTTTATTTGATCAATAATTTGGAAGATATTGTCGTTTTTCTAGCATTTTAAGTTAATGATAATTCCTATTTTTTCCCTGTCAGTAGAAATGTGCTAATCATAACACAATTGAAAATAATCAGTTTTCAATCTTTTGAACATAATTTATAATTCATACTTCATCCGCCAAAGCAATTTTAAGACTACCATTGTGCAGAGTTGCAACGAGGGTCACTTAAAATTAACATAGACCTTTTAAGAATGAAAAAATGGTGTACATTTTCGACATAAACTAAAAGTTAAACTGAGGAAGTATTTTAATCAAATTTTACTTTTTTATCAAAGCTAGTGTATCCCTATTTTTACCATGTTATTTTATAAAATCTTAACAATTTCACTTTATCTTTTTTATCCTTTTTATCTTTCCAGCCTAATGTCATAGACCTTTGATATTTCAAACTATGGATTTTGTTAATTCAAATAAGTTGTAGATATCAAAGATTTACACCATCAGATTGTAAAGATAAAGGAATTAGAAAATTAGAATTTTTGCAAAAATTGAGTTTCTTTATTATTGACTAGTTAATGTTGAATATGAATTGATTAGGTGTGACTACACTGACGGAGAGAGAAGAATTCTCCTTGTTCTGTATTATTGAAGGACAACCCTTCACAAGGCCTTTATATAAGGAAATATATCAATTTATCAAACTTTAATAATTCACTCAAGTAAATGTTTTTTTTTTCTCCCATATATCCGATATATAAATATTCGGATATCCGAGTAATAATTTTTGATATAACTAAATACTTCAAGCTTAGTTTGTTATTCCTAAAACCTTTGGAACCTGAGAGTTAAATATTTGATAATTCAAACTATAAATATAGAAGAATATACATAGTTTGAAATATGAATGGTCTCCGACATCTGGTTGCAAAGATTAGAAAATTAAAGATAAAATAAAAAATAATTTGTTTTTTTAAAAATTTAGATTTGTTTTGGAATTTCTGATTTGTTATGTTTATTTTAAAAACCGTACTGCACAAGGACCAAGACCATAATATTTTGAAAATCATCGTTTAAACTTTCTTTTCAAATAAAATGTCTGAATAAGTGTTTTGCCCAGCTCAGACTTTTGTTGATAAGAAAACTTCATAAGTTTGTTTACGGGACATAAAATTGATTTGTCAAGTATTTTGATGGAAGAAATGTTTCGTAGATTTCGACAGTGTTCTCTCTCAAAAAAAAAATTTGGTAAATTAATTTTGGCCGTTTTTTTTATTTAAATTTTCTTAAATTTTTGAAAGTTAGAAATTTGATATAAATATGGATTCAGGACCAGTATATACTTGATGTAACAACGGATTTGATGAAGCAAGGAGCAATATTTTATCTGGTTTTCTGTAGATCTGTCTGGCAATATCCTCTTAGGTATTATTTAGTTTTTTGGCAATTTTGACTCAGGTATATATTTTTATATTGGCAAAATACATTTAGGTAGACATTTAGCATTTTGGCAATATCCACTTCGGTCAGTATTTAGTAGGTTGGCAATACTCACTTAGGTACATATTTAGTATTTTGGCAATATCCATTTAGGTAGATATTTTGCATTTTGGCAATACCCACTTATGTAGACATTTAGTATTTAGGCAATATCTACTTAGGTTTATACTTAGTATTTTATCAATATCCACCTGCGTAGATATTTTGTATTTTGGAAATATCCAATTAAGTTAGTCTTTTAAGTATTTTGGCGATCTACTTAGGTTGATATTTTGTATTTTAGCAATATCCAATTAGGTAGATATTTTTGTATTTTGGCAATATCCACTTAGGTAGATATTTAGTTTTTATGGGAGTATTCACTTACTCAGGTCATTTTTTATTTTTCTTGGCAATTTTCACTTAGGTAGATATTTTTTTATGTTAAGTATATATTTAGTATTTTGGAAATATCCACAAGAGAGATATTTTGTATTTTGGCAATATTTATTTACATTTTATATTTTGCAATATCCATTTATATGTTATGATAAAATGTTTAAGTAAATCAATCTAATTAAGGTTGGATAACAAGCTGTATATCGAGGTAGTGTTTAACCAGATAGCTCCAGATTATCTGGAGGGATTACTACTCATCATGCCTGGGGAACAGATAGATCAGGAAATAGTTTATCAGGTAAATGAAAATTCATCCTATTTTTATTCATTAGTTTTATTTATCAATTAATACTTTAACTTAACGTGATATTGCAAGACATTTAGGAATATAACGTTGGTGTCTAAATAACATAAGTATTAAGAGACGACAACATGCAAAACCCTTTTTATTTCCGAAAGTTAAAGACGGATTGTCAAATTAAATCTAGGTGTAATACGTTCTTCCAGTTTTTATTTTTTTTAAAATAGGATGTTAAATATTTTAGAAAAAACTCAATATTTTAAATCTGTATTTATTTTATAAAATCTCCGTGAATATTGAAGGTGGCAGACCACATTTTAGATATTCCAAAAAAATGAGTGTGCACAATGTCAAACGATGTCACATAACTCCCATGTTGATTGGAACTAATTTTATTTCAAATATTTTAACAATTTTAAAAGTTTGCAATGATTTCAATTATATTTACGTAGGTTGCTAAAGTTGCTGCTCTTCTCCATAAAGCAGCTGACATGGATCATATGCCAACTCTCAAGGTAAAATAATATTTATTTGTTTTGATTAATTTTTAATGTTTCAATTTAATGGCTAATAAATGACACAATTTTAAGCAACCCTTCATTCACAACATTACGTTGTCCACCTTGGTCTCAGCAAAACTGGTGGAAATATGTTAAAATACTGATGGAAATATTTTTAAAAAACTGGTGGAAATATGTTAAAAAACTGATGGAAATATTTTGAAATACTGATGGAAATATGTTAAAAAACTGATGGAAATATGTTAAAAAACTGATGGAAATATTTTTAAAAAACTGATGGAAATAGTTTAAAAAACTGATGGAAATATGTTAAAATACTGATGGAAATATGTTAAAAAACTGATGGAAAAATTTTAAAAAACTGATGGAAATATTTTAAAAAACTGATGGAAATATTTTTAAAACTGATGGAAATATTTTTAAAAACTGATGGAAATATTTTTAAAAACTGATGGAAATATTTAAAAAAAACTGATGGAAATATTTTATAAAAGCTGATGGAAATATTTTTAAAACTGATGGAAATATTTTAAAAAACTGATGGAAATATTTAAAAAAACTGATAGAAATATTTTATAAAAGCTAATGGAAATATTTTTAAAAAACTGATGGAAATATATAAAAAAAAAAATTATTTCTTTCAGGAAACTAAATTCCTGCTGCCTAAACCAGCGTTATCAGCTCGAGATATCAAACCTCCACAGTGGGTCAACATGGTTCAAGGAAGCTGGCAAGAGGTAAAACATAATCCTTTCCTGGGGTCACGCGAGGTCCACAACAAATTTGGGTCCGATCGATTCAACCGTTTTGCTAACTATCTATATAAATATCTTGGTCCAGGATTATCTTAACTATCTATAAATCTATCTAGGTCCAGGATTATCTAACTATCTATATAACTATCTAGGTCCAGGATTATCTAACTATCTATATATCTATCTAGGTTCAGGATAATCTAACTATCTATATATCTATCTAGGTCCAGGATTATCTAACTAGCTATATATCTATCTAGATCAAGGATTATCTAACTATCTATATGACTATCTAAGTCCAGGATTAACTAACTATCTCTATAAATATCTCTGTCAGGATTATCTAACTATCTATATATCTATCTAGGTCAAGGATTATCTAACTATCTATATATCTATCTAGGTCAAGGATTATCTAACTATCTATATAAATATCTAAGTCCAGGATGAACTGGCTATCTATAAATCTATCAAGTTACAGGATTATCTAAATATCTATATATCTATCTAGGTCCAGGATTATCTAACTATCTATATATCTATCTAGGTTCAGGATTATCCAACTATCTATATAACTATCTAAGTCCAGGATGAACTGGCTATCTATAAATCTATCAAGTTACAGGATTATCTAACTATCTATATATATCTATCTAGGTCCAGGATCTAAGTTCTAGCAGAGCCAAGGCTAAAGTTCTTGAAATCCTGTCTCAATGGCAACTCTTCGGGTCAAGTTTCTTTGCTGTAAGTATTGTTTTAAATTAAGAAGAATGTGGTGGTTATCATAACAAGTGGAGAATATGGTGGTTATCATAACAATGTGAGAATGCTTTACGCACTGAGAAGATAAAAAGATATTAACAGGGTTACCCACACAAAAAGGTAGACTTTAATGAAAATCGAAAACTACCACGGTCTGAGGGGTAAATTCTGCATTAGAAAGAAACTTGTTAGAGCATATATTTGTCTAAGATGTGATTTTAGTTTAATGCTACAGGGAATCAGTAATTTAAAACTTAGGACTGAATTAAATCTGTAGTCTAGACTATAAAGTTGCATTCTTCGCCGGTAACCCTGTTTATTCGAAATTATAAAGATAGAAACAAGCATGCACATGTTTAAAAAACTTCTGGTGTTTCTTAAGTTCAAGAAGTGCATACAAAATGCAAAGAACAGGAAAATAAATAAATGAGTAATTGAGGATAGTGTTGAGACGATGCCTGGCCGCGTTAAACTAGTTCCACAAGATTCAACAGAATGAGATAGAACGGATACGGGGCATAGATGAATGATGAATGATGAATGATGAATGATGAATGATGAATGATGAATGATGAATGATGAATGATGAATGATGAATGATGAATGATGAATGATATATGATATATGATATATGATGAATGATGAATGATGTATGATGCATAATGAATGATGAATGATGAATGATGAATGATGAATGATAAATGAATATGTATCTCCAGGTGATATCAACGCGTCAGATGGAGACCGAGGATGGAACCCTATACCTGGATATGAAGTGTGGGAACCTAATGCAGCAGAGAATATCTAGGATACAAACAGATCATCAAGCTGTAGAGATTGCCAGGCTTATCAAACAATATATAACAATAGGTTAGTTTCATATTACTAAACACGATAATTTAAAGAGATTTGCTGGCGTTGGATTTTCGAACATTCCTGGAAAATATGAAAATGTCGTCTTCATTATCAAAAATCCTCGAAACAGGAATAAATGTTTTCAAAAATAGCTCTCAGATGATGAAAAATCCAAAATCCTATATCTTCGCTACCACTGTTTCAAACTATAGATTCTGTTAGATCAAAAAGTTTGAAGTAATAAAGGTTTACACCATCAGGAGGCTACGGCATAGTGATTAGAATAATTGAGTTTGTGGCGAAAATTCAATTCCTTTGTTTTATTTTAGATCAGAAGACCCGAGGAATGAGCCTAGAGAGCACTATTCCGGAATCTAGATCTGCTTCAAGGTCGGAGAAATATTAATCTCATCGATATCCTCAAACTTGGAACCCGGACCCTAGCTGTATGATATGATATGATATGATATGATATGGAATCAGGAATCTAAACCCGAATCATGAACCAGGGTAACCTGAACCTGGAACCTAGGATCCTTAACCTGGAACCTAGGATCCTTAACCTGGAATCTAAAACCAATTATCATGAACCTGGAACCTGGAACCAGAATTGTAATTATTATCCAGAGGGCTTGTATATATGCTAACTCAAGCCTTTGACCATGACCTTTACTAACAATATATTGTACGTTAGAGACATTGCAGAAATTTTTAGATTAAGTTTCATGAAATACTCATTTCAGAAGTTTGCTCAATTTTTAGTTTAAAATTTATAATTAGAATTATTGTTTACAATGTTTTAAAATTATTTTATTCATGTTCCTATATTCCAGTAAAAATGTTGTTTATTCTTTAATAAATATTTTGCGAAAATTGTATTTTTTCTTTCAACTTTTTTTTGTAAATATGATATGCATAGGCAGTTCGATATAGTAATACTTAACTGTAGCCTCGGGAAAGTTAGAAATTAAGAATTTACTTATTTTTAAAACCGACCCAGACTACAGGGAACTTATTACTGCTGGGTATTTCTCATTTTTTTTTTACTTTTAAATGGATTGTAGGTTTATTTTCTAGTGATTTTTAGTGCTCGATTCACAACAGGACCCATTAAACACAAAGAATTAAGGGTACCGTTGCAAATCAGACATTCTCCTCCTCCAGTTGAAGTACCTTTAGTTGGTGTATTTTATTCTTTTAGTTGGTCTATTTTATTCTTTTAGTTGGTATATTTTATTCCTTTAGTTGGTGTATTGTATTCTTTTAGTTTGTATATTTTATTGCTTTAGTTGGTGTATTTTATTCTTTTAGTTGGTATATTTTATTGCTTTAGTTGATGTATTTTATTCCTTTAGTTGGTGTATTTTATTCCTTTAGTTGGTGTATTTTATTTCTTTATTTGGTGTATTTTATTCCTTTAGTTGGTGTACCGAAGTACCTTTAGTTGGTGTATTTTATTCCTTTAGTTGGTGTATTTTATTCCTTTAGTTGGTGTATTGTATTCCTTTAGTTGGTGTATTTTATTCCTTTAGTTGGTGTGTTGTATTCTTTTAGTTGGTATATTTTATTCCTTTAGTTGGTGTACTGCATTCCTTTAGTTGATGTATTGTATTCCTTTAGTTGGTATATTTTATTCCTTTACTTGTTTCTTCATTTGAAATTCTTATGTTAAGATTCTCTCGAACAATCTGGTTTTTTCCAGAGCAAAGTCTGCGTAACCATTTCTCTAAAAATGCTTGAATTATTATCTGAACAGGATTTGCGATTAATCACCATAAATCACGAGAAGATTTTCACAACAATATTCTTATCTAATAAATATGCAGTATTCAGGGAGGTTGCTTTTAATTTTCTTTTTTTTGTTGTTTCTTGTTTTCTTGTTTGTTCTTGCGTTTTTTCTTGTATTACACTGAACAAACGTTAAACGTTGGTTGTCAACACTGAAATGTACTTTTAAAACCCTAAGCCTTGTTAATGTCAGAATTGCGAATTAGAATTATCATCTTTTGAAGAAGATAGTGTCAAATCTGAAACTAGATAATTTCACATAAAGTAAACAGTGGAGAATAATAATTAGTTCCAAAACAGTATTAACAAGATTAACAGTGTTCGGAACTATATCAACAAATATTTATAAATTACACACAAATATTAGAAATAGTTATAATTCAGAAAAAAACTATCTTAATTTTAATTAAAGAGTGAATAATATTTTGTTTTCACTTTCTACACCATTTTAATCTTCGAAAATTTAAATTTTTGGCTTAATGTTTAATTATTCATCCTTACGTGTTCATTTTTACCCCATTCTACATAATATTTTAAAATATTTAAATAAATCCTTTTATCCACGAAGATTAAAATTGTGCAGCTCATTTTCAGTTTGTATTTAGTTTAAATATACTTTTCGCATTAAAATATAATCCCCCCCCCATCTTTATATAAGTTTAAATATATATATTTGGTACTACAGCTTAATAAGACGGGCTTAAAATATAAAATTTTACTTCAAATTTATATTTACAAGGGTGTACGTCTAGTATGGTTTAGGATATCGGACACAGAGGACCATCATTTTCTCTGAGAGGAGAAAATAAACATTTTGAAAAGAAGTTTGATTTTCAAACATAAAATAGTTTCATGTTTAAAATGTCAGGGTAAAACAAGTCATATTATTAGATGCTGTTTTATTTGACGGGTGAAAACAATTAATGAACAAATATGTTTATTTTCTTATTCTGGTTTTTCTTGGGGTTTGGACAAAATCTATTAACTTAAAAATTGGTTTAACAACAACTGTCAGAAACCATTCTTTTGGTGTGATAGAAATTGTACTATACTCACAACTATATAGTGAGAATCAGAAAACTGAGGTAAATTTCATCTCTGTTCTTCCGTTGACTTTCTAACGATTTTGTAATTTACATTTTTTTCCACTGGTACATAATCATAATTTCAAGGCACAATTTTTAAGAATTTGTTCGGCATTTATTAATTCAAAGAAAAAAGAAGACGACGACAAAAACACTATGTACTATTGTACTAAGCTGTACAATCTCATGAAAATAAATGATTTTTTTCAACATAAAAATGATTATTTCAACAACAACGAAACACCCAAGCATGTATATTATTGCCAATCGATTTTACAAGAAAAATATAATAACAATATAGAAAATATCTAGAAAGTTCACAAAAAGGACTTATTTTGCTCAATTATATGAAAAATTTTCCTAATTGGAAACGTATTCTAAAAATCATAAATTTGATTACTTGCCTCAAGCCCTAATTTTCTAATACCTATCACCCCAGTCTAAGAGTTTCATGATCCGCGTCGGTACAACACGTACAGTCGTTCTGTTCAAGTAGATTACCCAGTGTAGGTAGAGTCGACCCAGCGCGTGTTATGCAACAAATGTTAAAAATCAAAGGCATACGAAGTACGGTTGCATAGATATAAGGTACGAATCAAGAAATGAAAAGAAAAAATGTTCCTTTTCTTATAATAAAAAGTATTAAACATCTCGATCTAAGAAAGCCCGGAAAGGTGTGGGGGTAGTGCACGCTGATTTAACAGGTCACCTCTTGTCCTGCAGCAAGATTGCTGGGTTTTTTTTTGTATTTTTTAGAAGATGAAGGTCAGACCAAATAAATACCAAATCTTTTGATCTTGGATGATTGCTGACCATTTTTGGACATTTTAAAAAAATATCACGGGTAAAATCGCGTTTTTTAGATCACAAAAAAGTATTGCAAAATTAGATTTTCAGCCATTAAAAATAAGTTTTCAAATTAAATGTTATCCCCTTTTCAATACTTTTAAAGATAAACGTTAACAAAGGATATTATTATTTGAGTTTTATAAAAAGAGTATGAGGGAGATTGAAGATTTATTTTAATGAATTTATTGCAAAAGTGCATTCTTCTTATTTTCTTCCCGTAGTTAACATCTTTTGTCTTCTTAATTATCCTTTTTATTTTTCAAGATTAATTTTGTATTTTTTATATCTTTTTATTCTTTCATGATATCTTGATAGTTGCCAGTTGATATATTATATGAACATTCGCTGCAAACTCTAATGTTTTAATCTCTATTAACTTGTAATCCAGTTACCAAACTCTAATGTTTTAATCTCTATTAACTTGTAATCCAGTTACCAAACTCTAATGTTTTAATCTCTATTAACTTGTAATCCAGTTACCAAACTCTAATGTTTTAATCTCTATTAACTTGTAATCCAGTTACCAAATTTAATGAATATTAAGAAGTATTTAAACTCCAGGGTTACCCAGAACGGATAAGACTTCAGAGAGGACTGTACGGAGTTTATACTGCCTGTTCATGATTCCCTGCAATTAAAAACTATTTTTTTGCTAAATAATTAAACAATCTATTCACAGGAAGAAAACCTAATTTAAACTTGGGATCGTCGTACTTGCTGAGTTACAAGTCGTAATTAAAGTCTCATTCTTTGTGGGTAGCTCTGTATTTAGAAAAGATTCATTTCTCTTGCGCTCCGGTTAAAATAACTACTAATTTTACGCTCATCAAGGTATAAAACGTTTCTTTTTTTAAACTTTAAGGACTCAGTTGATCCTATAAAAACGTAATTTCTATTTGTTATTGTGCAGTTAGAGTTGTGCTAAATATACACCCACCCCGATTTAAAAAATGTTGCAAACGTAGATCTTTTGTCCTATTTTGAGGTAAACATATCAATTTTTTAAATTAAAATCTTTCCGTAAAAATGTTAGATATTTTATCATGCAGATGGAGACAAGTAATTTATCTGAGCAGTTTAATAATAGGTATGATCATAATTAACGATTTTGGGTATTGTTAAATATCTCTTCGACCAGGTATGATCAACTTTGATCAAAAATGCAGTCTTGCATAAAAAATACCGAATTTCCGTAACTATAACAATCAGTTTTTAGTTTGTTAATTTTATTCATAGCTAAATAAATGAACTGACATTTTAAAAGAAACGAGTAACAAACTAAAATAACTATATTCATGAACTTTCTTATCAGTATTTTAGATTTAACAGGCAGTTCCGGCAACTTCTTGCAATAACTGGACTTAAAGACTTTTACCAGAATAATGACTTGTGATTTACTTCCTCTAGCATTCATAGTTAATAAATTTACGCAATTATACTTCCTCACTAAGCAGGCTAAACTAACTTTCTATTCAGAAATACTTATAAAAAAGTTCAGAATAAGACTTCCTTTCCTCGGAAGTTTGAAGAAGAAATAAATTGTGTGGTTTTCTGAAACAGGATATCGTTAAAAATAATTTTAATCAAATTTATTTGTTTAGTTTTACGGAAGGAGATAATACTACCTCTCAACTGATAGAACTAAACGAGAAGTTTAAGTAAGTATTTAGAGTAATTAACCCTACCACGCTTGAAAGGAATAAAGGCTGTGCAGGGGAACTCAAATTTTCAAATCCCTATATCCTCGCACCCTTATAGTGTAAACCTTTGATACTTCAAAAATAGATTATTTGATCAAACTGAATTCATAGTTTAAAATACTTTTCATAAAAGAAATAATGTAAAGAAGTATTAGCAAAGTCGAAAGGCGGGTCGGTGTAAAAATTTTTTCTTCAGTCCACAACAATGTTCAAGCCTCAAATCTAAAATTGTCAAAACAAAATATTTAATTTTTTTTCAGGCCTTTTTGGCTTTTTAGAAATTTGAATCGGCTTACAAGTGGTTCAACTAACTTTTAATTCATTCAATTTGGAACTATATAGACAGCACTAATCCACGTATCTTTTGTAGTAGAAGGATTAAGTTAGATTTTTTATGATAGATCTGAGGATTGAACTATATGAGAGCTCACCTCTGCAAAATAAATGATTTAGCAAAAATCAGCTTGTTCCATTATTTAGCTTTTGTAAGATGACACTAACTCAAACAAAATTCCTGAACTTGAAAAGGTTTTGGTTAAACCGGCTTAGTAACATTATGCCTAGTTCCCGAATGCCTAGTTCGTGAATGCCTAGTTCACTATGCCTAGATTCATGAATGCCTAGTTCGTAATGCCTAGATAACATTATGCCTAGGTAATACTATGCCTAGATTCATGAATGCCTATATAACATTATGCCTATATTTCTGAATTCCTAGATAACATTATGCCTAGATTTCTTAATGCCTAGTCACCCAATGCCTAGATAACATTAGACTGAATTGAATGCCTATAGACATTGTCAAGCAATAAATATGTTCATATTATTTGTTACATATTTTATTGGTCAAATTTTTGCCTATCATGGGCCAAAGTAGAAATATATTCTGCTCTTGGCATGCTGTCAAAAGTATCAACAACAAACTTTAATCTTTCTCTTGCATCTAGGGACCTCTGTTTTCTTCCAGTGTTGGTTGTCATGTCCTGACCAACAGCTTTAGATAAGTAGGCTCTTGATGAACAGCTCCTGAAAACATTGTCTAGACATTCAATGCACTCTTATGTTATCTAGGCATAATGTTATCCAGGGCATTCATGAATCTAGCCATTGTGTTCTCGAGGCATTATGTTATCTAGGCATTATGAACTAGGCATTCAAAAATCTAGGCATACTGTTATCTAGGCATTCAGAAATCTAGGCATAATGTTGTCTAGTCATTCATGAATCTAGGCATAGTGAACTAGGCATTCACGAACTAGGCATTTGGGAACTAGGCATAATGTTACTGAGCCGCTAAACCTCATCTCGTTGATTCCATAGTTTTGTAAACCAATAGAGACAAACAAGGTTAAATTTTCTTAAGTCTTCATAAGAATGGAAACCAAAAAGTTCAAAGATTAAATCAATCTTTCATTAAAGGGAGTATTAACAAAAAATTAAGGGGTATACAGTGGTTGGCGATTATATTAACACAATGAAGACAATTTTTTATTAACAATGCTTTGATCCCTAAATCATTTTACAAATTACAAGAAAACACAGAGAAGCTGTTTATTGACAACTTGTCTTTGTTTAAATGTGTAAGAGCTGTTTAATGGCTTGGTAGAAATCAAAATTGAAATAGAAAGTCTTCTTTGTTGTATTGATATAAACGACGACTACTGCATCTGAAATATGCAATATGCATGTGAAATATGATATGTGCCAGGAAAATTAGACTAATTGTATTTAATATTCTTTATTACAAAATTAAACACACATTAATTAAAATTTTTAACTTATTTTATTTTATTTATTTTTATTAAATTTCACAATATTTTTAATATTTATATGATATCAGATAAAATTATTTTGATATTTCAGTATTTTTTCTTCGCTTTCTTTTTATTATCATTCATACATCTTTCAATAATATATCAGCCAATTTTGAAAAAAAAGGATGTTCTTGTAAATTAGCCACTTTTACAAGAAGAACTATTTTTAAAAGATTTTGTTTTTTCTGAACCCTGTATTCATTTTGAGTTAACCCTCTGGTTTTCTTTTCTTGGAAAGCTGACCAGACAATTTGTAGTATTTCAATGTCAGCTCTGTGTTTATTGGTTGCACATGTTATTTAGGGTCGGCTTTACACTTTTTTGAGATCGTTTAACTTTAGGAAGTTTTTTTGAAGAAAGGGGGTGGGTCGTCTCCCATCCTGTTTTTGTCTTCATTTGCTATTGGTAAAAAAAAGATAGTGTAAAGCTTAAAATACCAATTCTAATTTTTGCGTCCTTTATTTTCTTTTTTTTCTTGTTCATCTCGTTTCTGCACTTTAAGACCTTTCCAAATAGTCCTTTTAGCATCCAAGTTGTGGGAAAGGTAGAGGAGAGAGATTATAAGATTTGTAGGAAGAAGGGTATAGGAGATTGCTTCCTGTGTTCCTTCATTTTATACTGTTTCCCAGTTAAGTGTATTAAGGAAAACCCATAACTGCACCCCTTATGCAAAGTGGGGAGTTGTGAGCCCTGAAAGCTCTCTTGAGAGGAATCTTCCATAGCAGTCCAGTCCTCAGATCTGGTAGAGTAAAAACCAGTACTGTTGTGCTTAGCTTGTGTATCCACAAGGGGTTAAACTCCTTCTTTCAGTGCACAAAGCTGAAGATGAAGTTTTGTTTTAATCTATGTACAATTCTTGCTTCCCCTGTAGGATATGCCAAGCAAACAAAAACTCCAGTTAAAATCCAGTAAAACTCGACTTTTGCCTTCCAGAAGTGGAGTTTTAATTGAGTTTAAAAGTGGAGTTTTCATTTGCAATAGTTATGCCATATCTGGATGAAAACTCAACTTTTCACCAAGTTGGGGGGTTGTAAAAATCAATGTCGACTGGATGATATCTGGATGATTTCTGGATGATTTTTGGATTATTTCTGAATATATTTTAATTTTAGTAACTTGAAATAGTTTATGTTTGGACTCACATATGAAATTTGAAAATTTCCAGCAATTCAAAATAGGCCAACATTATTACACTTCATTGACGAAATATAATTATGATTCCATTTTCGAATTTCTTAAAAAAAATAATCTTGTTAGTGTCGCGGTGTTCTTTTTGTTCATTTGTGCACACAAAAGAACTAGCAGTACGGTTTTTTATTGATTTCTTTTGAACATAAATTAAATTGATTTCTACAGAATTTTGTTAATAGAATGTCAAATAGAGTCCAGATTGTTGAAAAAATTCTTTAGAAAATATTTTTATTCAGGATTATTGAGAATTGGTTGGAATGTGTCTTCTGTTAATATTACCAAGAAGAATATTATCAATCTAAATCAGCAATGTGCAAAGTGTCTAGTCTTCTTTTCTGACGTACATTTTTATATTTGATCCTTACCCCCCCACCCCTGACAAACTTTTAGTAAAGCCACGTGTTTTTTTTTCAACAAGATATTATTCGGCTTAGAAAATGTAATGTTTACAAAACGTGCTGAGAAAACAAATATCTGAAAACCAACATTTTTGGAAATGCATATAATATTTTAGGATCTAAACCACGCTCACAAGATACATTTTTACACATTCTATCAGAATTGTTATCAATGTAAATAAAACAATTGGAATCGAAGTGCAGGGTTACCCAGAAAGGATGAGATTTCTATGACACCCTGCATTTCTAAAGTAAACGTACATGGTTTTGAAGAAGAAAACAAAATAAAATGGAATGTAGACGCAATACATTTGTACATGCATGTCCTATTCACAAGATACGCGACGTTTAAACCTTTGACTAATAATGGGCTTATCCTAACTTATCTAAAGAAATGCTTAAAATTGTTGAACATTCATATGCAATTTATATGTTTGATTAGTAAGAAAAGTAATAAACACTTTTTAAAAGTCGCAGAAAATAAATATATACATTCTAATTTTTGAAAACCGCGTTAAATATAAAACATTCGGTATTTTCGATGAAAAAATGTTTCGTACGATTAAGCGAGCATTAATTATACTTTCCAGTTTTTCGTAAATTTAGCACCATTTAAAGATAAACACACAGTGTTCTCTGGCCTCGATGATAGGTCAAATTCTTATAAATCTGGAATTCACCTCTTTGATGAAATGGTCGTTTGAAGCTTCGCTTACAATCCCATTAAAGCTGGATAAAACCTTTTTTGACAGAAATATGCCCCGTTTTCAAGTCTCTTAAGTCTCAGTTAGGTATCCAGTAGATGGTTTGAAAGTTTAAGTTTTTTTGCTAATCGGTTTCTGGTCCATAGTCCCGTTTTTAAAGTACTTATGATACTTTAAAATCCATTAAAAAAAAAATTTTAGCAATTTTTTAAAAATCGATTTTCACTCGTCTTTGTTTTATTTTTGTTTAGGATCAGTGCTTGGAATAGTTTTATATTTTATATTTGATTGAAAGGACAGGAGATAAAATTACTTAAGTACTTACTGGATGCTGATTTTCTGAGTTCTCATCATTAAGCTTATGTTTCATTGACAAGATAGAACAGTAAATATTGAGAAAGAATATTCAGAATAATTTGTTAATTTGTAATTAGCTTCGCTTTTTTTCTTTAAAAAAAATCAGAAATGATTAACAATTTTTTTATTAAGGCTACTGTGCTATAACTTATATATTTGAAAAGCCCTTGAAAAATTAATGTTAAAGCATGTGTCACATGTCAATATTTGTCAAAAGTAAAAACATTTATTTTTGAACATTTTTCCGTCGTACTTTTAAACTTTTTAAAATTCTCCCTTACACCCTAACCATAAAATTTAGAGGACTAATTTTGTTTAATGTTCAGGCCTTTAAATTTGAGACATGTATCACACTCCCCTTTCTATGGGCAAAATCATATTAGACGAAAATAGCCCAATCACTGTTGGCATCCTTTAGTTTAACATGATCTGTACTGGTGTTATGTACGGCATAATATTTGTACTAGGGTCTATTCAGAACTTTATTTATAATAGTAATCTCTACAATTACACTTTTCTGTACTGGTGTTATGTACGGCATAATATTTGTACTAGGGTCTATTCACAACTTTATTTATAATAGTAATCTCTACAATTACACTGTTCTGTGCTGGTGTTATGTACGGCATAATATTTGTACTGGGGTCTATTCAGAACTTTATTTATAATAGTAATCTCTACAATTACACTGTTCTGTGCTGGTGTTATGTACGGCATAATATTTGTACTGGGGTCTATTGGAAACTTTATTTATAATAGTAATCTCTACAATTACGCTGTTCCAGGATCTGTGCTGGTGTTATGTACGGCATAATATTTGTACTGGGGTCTATTGGAAACTTTATGTTTACTTACATAGTAATCTCTACGCAGTCGACAGGTAAACAAACTTTTTAAAGGGATTGTTCCCCAATTTGAAAGCACATAGTTTGTACAAATTTATTAAAAGAGGAAAAGACAGAACTGCCTTTTATATAAATATGTCCCTGTGAACGAGACAAATGGGTATTTTGTCAAATTTTCAAATTTTATGTGATTCTCAATTTACTCTTTCAATTTCAAGTCTAACATTTTTTTCTTGAGTCATCTGATTATTGCATAAATACTCTCTGAAGAATTTCAGATGAATTGACAGATCTTTTAATTAATTTTAGTAAAAATTAGAAATGAGGATAAAACTCCACAACTAAACTAGTAGTTTTTCATGCTCAGAGCAAAATGTCAAGAATTATGTTGTAAAACTTTTGATTAATTGCTTTTATTGTATCAGCTATTTAAAAAAATCAAATTTAAATTGTTTTGTATCGCGGAGCAACATCTAATAAAAATATAAATTTTCAAGCTCACCAAAATGAAGCAGAGGATATGTTTGGATGGAACGGTAGGAAAATATTAAATGCATGGATGTATATATGTTATGTTTTCATCAAACATTAGGCATATACTATATATATGTTGTACATATTATAAATATATTATATTTGATGGAAGAAAAATATGATATGTTCAGATAAAAAATGAAGAAATACTAAATATATTATTATTGTTGGTTTGAATGGTAATTGTGTGCTTTTGTATGCAGAGAATATTATAGGTTTCAATGGAACTGCAGTAGGAATATATGAGAAGTTTGGATGAACCAGCAGGAAAATACCTACAGATTATTGTGTATGTTTGACCAGTTGCTTACCGCCCTCAGAAGAGTACGGACCCTTCTCTTATCAGTTCCGGCTTTACAGTTTGGGGGAGAGATGCGTTTAGTTGTCCATGTCGTATCCTACAAGGAAGTAGCGGTAAAATATAGGAGGGAAATAAAGCAAGAACTCCATCTTAAGCCTGGTTCAACTGAAAGAAGGAGTAAAACTTCTGATAGGTATACAAGCCATGCACATCAATACCGGGTTTTTTATCGACAAGCTGGGAGGAATGGACTGCTGTGTACATTTCCTCCAGATGATGCTTTTAGGGCCACAACTCCCCATTTAGCATAAGAAATGCAGTTATGGGTTTCCATAACCCTAAACAGGCTTGGGGAGGGGGGGGCATCTGGCGCCCCCCCCCCCTGCAGTTTTTGTCCTAGCACTCTCATTTTTGACACTATCATTGTAAAATTTTGTGACTTTTAATGAATAGCAATTTAAAGGATTTTTTTGTAAAAAAAAAATGCATAGGTTTTGGTACAGTGCGGAAAAAAGTCCCGTCTTTGGAAAAAAATCTAAAATAGCCCATAACTTTTTATGTGACAAAATCTATACATCTAAAAATTATATTTTTGAAAAGCCCTTGAAAGTTGGATAAAGAAGCATGTATCACACTTTGATATTTGTTTAAAACAAAAAAAATATTTTTTTCATTTTTCTGACCCTTTTTTTGGTGTTTTTTCAACCCTCCCTTGCACCCAAACTATTAAAGTTATTAGTCTAATTTTTTTCATTGAGCTGGCATTGGCAAATTGGGGTATGCACATGCATTTCAACCCTATACCTCTTCTCTAAGGCCTTTTCAGGGGGGCGTCAGACCCCCCCCCCCCCAGGCAATACATCGATTCAGACCCCCCAGCCTTAGTAGGGTTAAAATTCCATTAAAAGTCAGAAATGACGGATGTTAAGCTTTACACTATCAATTTTTTGCCAATAGCGAATGAAGACAAACATTAGATTACGGGCTGGGAGACGCCCCCCCCCCACCCTCTATTTATTCTGCTTGAAGTAAAATGCTCTAGAAAGTGTGAAGTAGCTGAGTCAAGTAACACATATTGCAAGCAATGCAAGGAGAGAGGAGAGGGGAGTGAGTTGCTCATTCTCAACCCCCCCCCCCTGTGCCCCCAAGTTCCGAACGTGATAAAACTGGCAGCTGACAAATTGTGAGGCTATGTAAAAAAAAATCCTTTTTTTTTAAATAAGCCGAAATATGATTGTATGATGTATGAACAAGAAGAAAAGAAGAAAGGAAGAACAAGGAATATAGAAATGTCAAAAAAATATCTACATCTGCTGTCATATAACATTATAAAGAAAAATGTTAAAGTTTTAATTTTAATAATTATGTAAAAAAAGTGTATGTTTGAATATCAATAAAATATTTTAAAATGTTTCAACTTTTTTTGATTTCAGCGATTAAGAGTGTAACAAACTATTTCCTGGTGAATCTTTCAGTTGCAGATTTTCTCATTTCCTTCACATGTATCCCAATACAGGTTGGTTAATACAAACATGTATCCTAATACAGGTCGGTTAATGTAAACATGTATCCTCCCAATACAGGTTGATTGATATAAACATGTATCCCAATACAGGTTTGTTGATCTAAACGTTTATCCCAATACAGGTTGGTTAATACAAACATGTATCTCTATACAAATTGGTTGATATAAACATGCATCCCATTCCCAATACAGGTTGGTATAATATAAACCTGTATCCCAATACATGTTGGTTAATATAAATATGTATCAGATTCTCAATACAGGTTGGTATAATATAAACATGTATCCCAATACAGGTTGGTAAATATGAACATGTATCCCATTCCCAATTTACAGGTTGGTATAATATAAACATGTATCTTAATACAGGTTGGTTAACATAAACATGCATTCCAATACAGGTTGGTTAATATAAACATGTATCTTACTACAGGGTGGTTAACATGAACATATATCTTAAGGTTTTACATTTTTGAAAACATAAATGAACTCCTTTTAATAAAGCCTATATGTTATCCATAATTATTTCTTTCTTTAAGTCTTTCCTTTCACTGTAGAATGCATTTTTATATCCGGATAGGTTTTAAATGTATAAAAAGAAGTGCATTTAGATGAAATCTTGATCACACACACAATTTAAAGGGACCTTTAGCTTAATCTTAAGCCATCAACCAGGCAAAAATGGCGATTTCCGATTCACAACGGTACCCTTAAAACCTTTTTCTAATCAATAATGAGATATTGCCTTTTTTTCTATGGAGGTTCACATAAAATTACACTTACAGTTCCTTTAAACTATGTTCGTGCTTAGGTAACAATTCTGTTCCTTGGATATTATCCGTACGGTAAAGGAACATGTCTCCTCTTCTCCTTTATTCAACCAACAGCAGTCTGTGCATCTTCATTCACTCTAGTCATAGTATCCTTGGACAGGTTAGTATACCGGGGGGGGGGGGGGGGG